GGATTGTCCGCAGAAAACGAGTGAATAAAGATGAAAAGAAGATAGCTTAAATTCATGGCAGCTATAAACTGGATAAAGACACAAAGAAGGCTTCAACGATGACGCCGAAAACACAATGATCGCTGATGGAAAACCGCAAGGGAATCGAGTTTCCCACGGGGGAAGTGCCCACAGGTGTGCGTGTGTGGACAGGGGTGTGTCGGTGGAATCTCTAAATCCCTTTGGTTAAACCACGACAGTGTCCTCTAGATTAGATTTTGCTTTACACACAATGTCCTCACAACTTTCTGAGAAGCAGACATTAATCAAATATAGTGAGATTTTTATGGTCTTTGACGAACGACAGACGGTCACCTATTTTAACAGCGGGGTTTCACGTAGCGATATGACTCAAACGCTTTCCGAACGTGACCTTTGGCAGAAATGAGTAATAAGATTCGATTATCGTGCCAGTTTTAGGGTGTGCGTAGGCGTAGGGAGGATTTTTGCAGGCTTCTCAGCCGGATTTGATGAGATTAATAAATTTACCAAGTTTTTCCAGCAGGATTATGTTGTAAGCTTACCAAACCGTGAGTATCGCGAGTGTTTCGTCACCTTCCCCTCCCCACATAGTCTACTGTTAGTTTGTCACCTGAGACATTGTGCCAGTTACGCCAGCATTTTGGCTCACCGAGAAACAATGAAAAAAAGGGAACGAGCAAAAGGCGAAGTTGAAAAAAACCCCGGAAATCTTTTCCTGCACAGTCATCTTTCTTCCATCCCGGTAAAATCTCTTCTCCGGGCTCCCTCCCTCCTAGTACCAAAGTTGACTCACCACAGGCAGACCATACTATGTGTCCGTGATCAATAATCAGCCTTGTCAATAATTTTTGACATGAGACGACCAAATTTATGAGGGTTACGATTAAAGCTTTGAAAATTGCATATCTAAATTACATCTCGGTCTGAATATCTCAATAAAGTTAAGTGAAATGTTATTCGAGCGGACGCATTTGTAGTATTTTTTTTCGCCTTCATGGGTCGTTTGAAATACCACAAATGCGTCGATCAACATTTCGTTTAACGTTATTGAGATATTCAGACCGAGATGGCAGGCCTGTCTACTCCGTGGCTTACATTTATAAAAGCAAACACGATAAATGTCTATCGTGAATCACATTAGGAAAGGATTACCTGCCAGCAACCCTAAGATTATTTCCTTTATGCACAAGAGTATTTTCATTCAGGGGAAAACAATATTAGGCATATCTGCTCATTATTTGTAACCAACCGAGAAACACCTAAGAACGAGGTTGAGATGTGAAAATCTCGCGCATGGGGAAGATTTGCAACCCGCTTTTAGGCGAGAAATCCCACCGTTGACGTCGCCGCGCGGAACTTTGGAAGTGATACCCACGATTCGCGCCCCACACTCTCAGAGTTCCGCGCGGTGCGCCAACAAATTTATTTTGCTGAAACAGTCTTTTTGCTTTGCACGACGGAGGACAATTGTTTTTTGACAGAGTTTAATTCCGACTTTTGCATTAATGGTGATTCATCACAAACCGTCATTAAAAGCCTGTAAAAAAAGTGAACACTTAGTAACAAAGCTGGCAATCTTGGCGTTCTTAGTGCATAAGATCGGTCAGCTCGTCAAATGAAATGTTAAAATAACTGTAATGTTGACATAGCAATTTTAAATTTTGACATGTTATTTGAAGATGACGCTGGAAACCGCAAGTTAGGCGATAGATGCGTCGGTGAGCAAGTTGCATTTAAAGATTTTAAATTTGCGAAAGACGCAGTAACTGGGGCCATTCGGTGACAAATGTGCGTTTCCAATAGCTCTTATTTTAAATTCATATTTATAATAAAAGGTGATCTCTAGTTAGAATTTTCCTCTAAAAGCCCTTGCCTAAGGCCTGTAAAAGGCGGTTACATGTGTTTTTAACAGCTTGTAGCCTGAAAGCCGAAGTTTTTGTTTAAACAAGCGAGCCCTAGTTTTTAATCTAGATCGTTCTTCTAGGTTTTATCTTACACGAATTGTTCACTTAGCTCCGATCAAACGAACATCCGACAACATCATTTATATTGCTTTTGGACGTGTAATGATATCATTGTCAAGCGATATGACAAGCAATCATATAGAACTTGCTAAAGCTTTTAGTTTGTTTCTCGGCGCAAAAAAAAAATCTCACATGGTTTTTCTGTATAACCTGAAATTGCATAAAAATGAAATAACAAAATTGGAAAATTAAATTACAATGTTAAAAAGAAATGCTAAATGAATGCGTTACGATGATTCTTTTTAAAAGAAAGACTAAAACGTTATGTGGAAGTCAAGCAAAGAGAACACGTGATATATCACAATGAAGAAAATACATGTAGGCCAAACAAACATCATCTAAGACTTGAATTTCATTACCAGCTTTCATCTACCGCGTGGGGGAGGGGAGAAGGTGGACGATTTTGAGGATCACATAGTTTTCAGGGGAACGTACAAAGGGGGGAAAAGTTGTCGCTGACAGAATATACCACAGGGGTACTGAAGAACATTGACTGCAAATGAGGCGGGATCATTGCAATTCTACAAAGCCTTTTGGAAGGATCAGGTAGATTTTGTTATGACACGACCAAAATTCTCTGACCCCCGACCCCCCCCCTCCCACGAGATAAATAATGACTAGTCCTAAAGCATGTTTCAACGCGTGCACGAGAGCCTTTTTTGTTTTCGTCGTCTTTTCACAATGCTTTAGAAGTGTCTTTAGCGTTTTCTTGGATCCTACTTGTAGTTAAGACTAATTCGTGCATTTCCGTGTATTCAGCTGTTGGATTTGTGGATGAAATCATCATCTACGACCAATTAACAGTTGTCGCATTTACATGCAAGATAAAATTTCATATGGTAAACAGGAGATTTCCTACCTTCGTTGTCATCGAAACCTTTCGCAATAGTTAGCGGAAAACCATCAATGAACTCTCACCCTACATTAGACCTAAAAGTAAAAACATGGACAAAAGCTACATACTTCTACGCCACGTAGTTAGTTGCTATGTGGGAGTTTGAAGCTTGCGCAGCTATCAGGCATCTTAAGCTGTCAAGGCGGCAACACCGAAGGAGACATCGACCAAAACATGACTTCATATCTTTAATTAGAATTCTGCGAATGTCTGGATGTGTTTACCGTCTTTTAACGGCGTCACACCTCAACTTCAGCAAACTGTATGTGAGCAGGGTTGAGGTTCACTGAAATGGAAACTTGCCATCGTGGCTTCCGCTTTCAGAACTCACAACTTTTGGCGATTTCACGCCTTCCTCTGTTTTGCAATGGAAGGCAAAGAAATGTACAAAGTTTCAAAACGCTCGCGCTGCGCTATCGTTCCGCCCAGTACATCTTTTGTTTTGCCACGTCCTCGTTGCCGTCGTGTCATAGGCACTTAAAAGTCCCTTCAAATACCGAAAGACGCCCAGGTTGAATACCTTTTTTCTTGTTATTTATAACACATGTGGGCTTAACATGAAAAAGAGAAGAGAGCGCATTCTGATGTTACCTGAAACACGTAAAGAGCTTTGTTAACGCCGGCTATATCATCACACATGCTTTGTAGGCATCGCCTAAGAATTCTTAAAATAACAGAGTATCCCAGCCACGAGACACGTAAGGACATCAAAATCAAATGGATTCTTGGCATCGTTCAAGATTTCTTAAAATAGCATATCATATCCCAACCCACAAGGCACTTGACTAGATCAGAAGAAAAATATTTTGACAAAATACTTCGATGTACTGCAAGCAACAGAGCCCTGATGCACGTGTCTCCTTTTAAAATTAATTTAATGATGTTTGCAATTGAAATTATATCCTTCACATCTCCTACCAAGGAAAAAGGAAAAGTGTTTGTCAGCCACTTACTATTCAATGACAGGTCTATCGTCCCAATTTTCTGTATAAATTATGTCATACAAATGCTTTTTCTTTTACTAATGAATTCTCTTTTAAAATTGAGAATTACAGAAGAAAAACAAGCTCAGGCGCTTTAATCATTTTTCAAGGTTAAAAATGTTGCTTCTGATGCTAATTTGGATTTTACCGATAAAATGACGCGATTCCTGAATTAATCACGCATCCAGTCAGTTTAAATGTATTCATTATGGACGATGTTTGCCCTCTGTGAAATTAAGTTTTGTTGGTGCAATCCGAAATCACGCATCTAAAGGCATCAGTTGGAAACCAATATCGGTGCCGTAAAACGAAGGTTTTGTCAAATTTTGGAGCCATCGAGTCTTTTACACCGTGGCAAGATAAAGATAACACATCCTCTTTCGACTTAAGCACGGAAAAAAAAAAAACCCGATATTGATCTATGATTGACCGGATCTAATCGTGATAGATGCCCTTTAAGTCAAGATGACACCTGCACCTGCGGTAGCCATACATTGTAGACACTATCAAGACATGATTGATTTAAATATTTTTTGGGTCGTTTGATCTTTCAAATTCCAAAAGCTTCTTTCCCTCTGGCAATTTGAGAATGAAAGAAGAATAATTTTTTAAAAAATTAGTACGCTCAGAAGAACGACATTCGTTTTGTTGGATTGTTACCATTTGATCGTGAAAGGAATCCAAAGGGTCGATGCCTCTTCAACACAGTGACATATCTGGGAGGGGAATAATTTAACGTGATTACTTCGCGAAACGACGAGAAGCCATTAAGTTCATTCTCGGCCAATGAAAGAGTATTACTCCTTATTAGGAATGCAGCAAATAAAATGTACCACAAACATTGTCGATTACTAATCAGTCGTCAAACATACGATTTTGAACAGAATGTTTTTATAGACTCACACTTCAAGTATTAATGTTCGTCCGCTCGACACTTGACGGAATAATCATCCACGATCGGATTTCAATACCTCCATAATTCCATATTTCATATTCATAATCTACTTCCCTTACGCTGACATTGCTGCAAGGAAGAAGAAGAAGGAAAAATAGCCAAAACAAAAACGAAATGTCGCTGGCTTGAATCCGATTTCCGTAGTGCAATACGATTGCATATATTCACCTGCGTTGCATTGCGTTGCGTGGTCGGTGACGTTGTCGTGAGCGGATGGAAGCACAGTGAAATGGTACCTCTCGGAAGCATTGCGCGTCGCATTCAGCCATGACTGAAAACAGTAGTGATGGTTTTGTTCGCCCTTTGTGGCTCACTGATCCGCGGATGGAAGGCCAAGAAGCGTTTTTCGAAGGCGTTCCAATGGTCGAACTTGAAGTAAAAACGATGACGGCGCCTGAACAAAATCGTCCAAGCGTTAGATCGTTATCACATAAAGTTAACGAGCCGAAAGAAACAAATGGCTTTATGGTTAACCATGAAAGTAAATTGGAAGAATCGTTGTTAAGGGCAGTTCAAGAGGAAAACCTCGAGGTTGTCGAGGTTCTTATCGATCACTATCTGCAGTTGTTTAATTTGGAAGAATTATACGATAATTCCGTGTCCTCTGAAGCGACGCAAACCAGAAAAACGCCGGTTAATTTTCTGCCGCTTGTGGTCGCCGCGCACTTAGGGAACTATAATGTTTTGAAATTGTTTATTTCTAAAGGTTTTAATTTGGAAAAACCTCACGATATACTCTGCGAGTGTGACCGCTGCCAAGAAGATTATTTCAGGCAGTCACAAAAAAGACTGGACATTTATAGAGCTATGGCGAATCCAATGTGGATCTCTTTAACAGGAACAGATCCATTTCTGACCGCTTTCAAACTCAGTAAGGATTTAAAATCATCCGCCAAGCAAGAAGATGAATTTGAAAAAGATTATCTGGCTCTGTCGCTTCAATGTGGCCAATTTGCTTTGGGACTTTTGGACGAATGTAAAACCTCTAAGGAACAGACCACCGTTTTAAATTTCCCCGGAAGCGAGGCCTCGAAAGGAGAGTTCAGCGAAGAATCGTTGGGTTTAGTACATAGCGCTATTGCATACGGTCAAAAAGAGGTAGGTGCTACAGAATTGATGTAATCAAATTACCTCTAATCGAGAATGAGTATTTACGAAACAGGTACTTTATGGAGAAGACTGACGAAGCTATGTATTTATTTCAATAAATCTTAATGTTTGCCAAGTCTGTTTTTATCTTGGCGATATTAAACCGGTTACTACGAGGTGGGCATATGTCATCGCATTACCAAACGGCAACAAATTATATTTTCAGTACCAGAGCAGGTTTTGCACGTTTTTTGTTTTGTTTTGGATTTTTGATGCTGAATCCAACTTTGGTTTATAATACAGAAGGAGAAAAAAATCGTAAACGTCTCCGCTCTTGACAAGCGAGGCAATTTTCTAAAGAGTAAATTTGCATACAGCAATTGCTAGTTCTGTTCTTGGCAAAATTTAAAAGAATCATGACAAATTGAACGCAAAAAGATGTGTTTAATATCTTTGCGCACACCTTATACCTGACACATCGAAAGGAAACCTTTCGAATAACGCCGGATTTCCATTAACCGCCATTGTACAAAGCCAAGGGAACTGAAAAAAACATGTTTAATTTTACTTCTTTTGGAAATGTTTTGTGCATTCAGCTTGGAACAGCAGGAAAGCAAAAGTTATTAAACAAAGTAAAGTCACCTATAGACGATTCCCGTTACATTTTCTTGGCAAGAAGATTCGATTTAAACTTGTTGAAATTGCTAAGACAGAATTTACTGTCAAAATAAATAGAGAAGGAAAATAGACGCAAATACTGACTCGCCGAAAGAAAACGTCTTAAAATATGAAATTAAGACTATTTGTACAGTGCAAGTTAAGTGTTAACCTAAATTAGTATTTAGTGAATGCTTTACGGTATACGCATAAAAAATTTTACGAAATTCAAATTTAAGTTAGCCGCTAAGCGCAACTTAGAACAAAGTTCACTGAGGCAGGAATTCGCCAAGACAAGTTAGAACAAGAAGCTATTGATACAGAATCTTTGATTTCACGCTACATATTCTTGTTTGAAATTATGTTCGCTTACGACCTGTTAAATAAAACTAGCGATGCGGTATATTATCAATCAAAAGGCAAGAAGCAGGTGTCCCACCATTGTAAGATTCGACTAAATTGATTCTACGCACCAGATATAATGGAAAGAGTCAGGATATGAATAATTGTAATTTTTTTCTTGTCTGTATTAACGCCAAAAAACATATTCTTTTTCAAAGGGAAATTAGAATTACTCACTTGTGGCTTAGTAAATCCCTTTTTAGCGAACCGAACTTGTTAATTACCGCTGAATCTTAGCAACGCTGCGAGGAAAATTTGTTGCAACGGAAGCGGAGAAACCGCAACAGCAGCGGGGGTAAATTTCGAAACGGGTGAATCATGATTATGAAAACCATTAATATTTATGTGCTCTTTGGTAAACATGTTTCAAATGTTGCTTCTATGCTTGAAAGGAATATAAGTGTGTTTTACTAATATCAGATTATGGTTTTCACTGCGTTTTAAGATAATCTCAAGATCGTTTCCGTCAAAATCTTGAATTAAACTTGTTATATATATATATATATTTAAAAAGGGCAATATCTATTTTGATAAGTTTATTTTGATCTGAGATTACTAAGAATTTAGCGTTAATTCATCAAATGTACTGAAATTGTAAAAATAACACATAACCGTCCTTTTTTTATCTTTAACCCGGGCGGAGTGCTTGGACTGATATTTCAATCCTGCGCTGGTTGTATTTAATTCATTTTCGGACCTATTACCATCGAAATAGATTCCCTTGAAGCTGTCAAAATTACACAAACCCCACATTAAATTGTTCGTTTCTACGAGAAATTTGAGTTTTATAACGGAACCTCTTTTATGAATGAGACTAGCATTTGCAATTTTCTAACCAATTCATCCGAAAAGCCTTTTTTTATTTGCTCTTAAGAACAATGTTTACTCTGTCCACTGTTTGCTTTTCAAAATAAAAATTTACAATATCCTTTATCGATTTGTCATAGAGGAGATGAAATGATTCCGCTTTTTTCTTTCTCTCTTGATTTACTTTGGAATTTCTAGTTTTCTCGAGTATTTTCTGCATTTGCAAACACAAACAAAATAAACTCGCCATCAACGTCGCTGTTACTTTAGGCAAATCACCCTCGTGCACATAGACATCTGCCCACTTCCAATGAAAGCATGTATACGGTTACAGAGAGTGGTGCTCTTCAAATGGAGGCTAATCTTTACGATATTGCCTCAGGGCAAAAAGTGGAAACATTCCGTCAATTTTTAGTCACAATCTTGCATTTTATGCATGATCAGGGATGACTTGTATATCTCGCGATGTAAAGTAGCTAATCAGCTTTTTTACCATAAACGTGATAAATTTGACAGGAAGTTTTATTTCCATGAATCAATTTTGCTTCTGTTGCACGTTGATATTATAAGAAAGAGGTTGTGCAATTATGCGATCTCTTCTTTCAATATGGCCGGTAAAGTTCGCCACTCGAACACCACAATCTGTTTTATCAGTAACTTCGACCAAACTTCAAACAAAACCTTAATTTATAAGCTAGTTCTTAAATTATACTCTTCTCCTGCCAAGTCGCTCATTTGTATTCGTGATATCCAGCTGATCGTACCGGTAACCACTTACTTTCCTGAGATAACATCGCCAACGCGCCCGGTGTTTTGTCCAATTCCGTTTGATAAGAATACGTTTAACCTCCGCTTGGAAAAAAAAATGACAGATAAGAAAGCCTTTGCGTTTGTAGTTTGTTGTTTTTTTTAATTTTCATTTAAGATTAGCTAAAGTGAAGTATTTCGGGTTTATGTTTCTGTGCCGTCGGGCCCTCTTTAGAGGGGATAAGACTGGTTTATCTGCTTCAAAGGTCAGAGTTTTTTATGCTGAAAAGAAGGGACGGTACGTGAGTGAGTGCTCTCTATCACGAAGCTTACAGTTAATTAACCGAGGTGGGAGGCATGAACGCACCGCTAAATGTTTGCACACATGCGAACTTTGTAATGACTAGGTGGTGTGCTTTCGGGCTATCAGAACCAAGTTGTCTTATGCGACTGACAGACAACCACCCAAGCCACTTTTTGATAAAGTTCATACAGAATGGCAAATCGACAGTATGCCCTCTACTCTCCTTCTCTGCTATTGTTTCCTTTTACAGATTTCTTACAATAGAAATTTCTTATTTTCTTTCGCTTATTTTGCGAGACAGCTGTGGTTTTGTTACTACGTTTTCCCTTTAAAAGTTGCGCAGGAAATTGACGCGCGGACGGCCAAAATTGATTCCCTCCCTCGCACATGCGCGACGTTTGACCGCTGTGTTTGTGACGTGTCACTAAAATATGTTCTCCACAAGGCTCAGGGCAAGAAGGGCCAGCCCTTCCCTACTGAATAATGGCAGAAATCTCAATCTCCTTGATTTACACTTAATGTTATTTTTCAGTTCGTAGCACATCCATTCTGTCAGCATCTTGTCATGAGCTGCGTCTTCAGAGGTGTTCCATGGCGGACTCAGAGCATCGCTTTTAGAATACTTTACGTTCTATTCCAAGTGCTGATCTATCCAATGATGGCTTTTATGTATTTCTTCTTTCCCTTCTTACGAATAAGCCGTAAAATCAAAAGACCCTTTATTAAGTTCGTCAACCACACTACATCTTTTGTGATATTTCTCTCTCTTCTTGCGGCATCTTCTCACGAACAATTTAATATACGCTTCGGTAAAGTACCATCACTACTGGAGTGGATCATCCTCATGTGGATTCTCGGAATAGCTTGGGGAGAGTGTAAACAAGTGTGGCACGATGGCGTCTTAAGATACCTGTCCAGTGGATGGAACTGGATGGACATTGGAATGATTGTTTTAATTCTCGGAGCCTACATAGGATGGTTTGTGCGAGCGATTATTGGTCGTTACACCATCTTGGACGACACAGCAGACCACTTCCTTTTGAGTGGAGCGGACGGCTTATACGCTCTTGGTGTGATTGCTAGCTTTTTTCGCTTGGTATACCTGTGTCAAATCAGCCGGTACCTCGGACTTCTTCAACTTAGCCTTAGTCGCATGGTGCGAGTGATATTTCAATTTGCATTCATCAGTGTAGTAATGTTGATATCGTTTTCTGTCAGCATGACTATGTTGTACTCGTCTTCATTTGAAGCGTACGGCCAGGAGAGGCCTGAAAGAAATACCACAGATGTCATACAAAGTCTGATAAGCAAAGGATATCACAGGTAAGCGAATCGCTTCGGTTTGATGGCGCCGAGCGTGTTACTGATACCCTTCTGTGATGATATATCTGAACCACTCAAGATATCATGGAATCTAGTTATATATATATGTAAGAAAGAGGCAAAAGTTTTTAAATTTTTTTTATATAATTGCATAATGGGTGAAGGGGAGGGAAGGAGGCTTTTACGTGAACACAGCTGATTTCAGGCGACTAAAATATGTTGATAAACAGTGTGCCACAAATGGTGAACAAATTCTTGAACCGTGCTATATCATCAACTTCTATTGAGAGTAACATGATGGTATAACGTCACGCTATATGACTAGGAAGAAAGGGCTCATAGGTGAGCGAGGGGGAAGGGGGGACTTAAAGCTCTGAAAAAGGGCTTATACTCAAAACGTCAGCTTTGAAATCTTTACGGCGGCCAATTTACGTTATCAACTCTGCTGATAGAACCAAATTACCCTGTTATACTCTCCCACCGACGCGTGCGCAGCACCACAGTTTCTTTCGAAGCTCACCCCTTTATTCGTGCAATATGTATATTGTTTACCTTTCAGTCTGATGACAACTATGGTGACAATGATGTGGGCGAGTCTAGATATGGTAACACTTGATAGTCTTCAGGTGTTCAAAGATCAAAGTTTGATTCAGATTTGGAGCGCCTTTTTATTCACGCTCTATCATGCAGCATCGCTCATTGTTCTTTTAAACATGTTGATTGCAATGATGAGCAACTCATATCAACGAGTGGAGGTATTTAAACCGTTGTTGGTAGAATGCATAGAATAAGAACGTGTTCTCCCCGGAGAGTCTCGATGTAGTGATGGCTTTTACGGCTAACGGTTAAAATTTTTCCCATTTTACTGCTAACAATTAATTTCTTTCTATTACGGTTTACAGAAATATTTAACAAAATTTCAATCATTTCGAAAAGTTAGTTATTAATAATCAATATTCTAAAACACAGTCACTTGCTCGCTTTTGACATAGAGTAATTTCATATTTTCCTTCATTGGCCACAAGAAAAGACACATGACAGTCTAAGATTTTGACACTTTTAAAATTGCATAACGTGTACAGAAAATTTATTTATGGTGAACTTTTTTTCTATTGCACGGTTAAAATTTGTCAATTTTTTACACCTAACGGCTAACTTTTTCTGCCGATTTAAGGCTAACAGTAAAACTCATTGAGACTCTCTTCAGTGATTTGCTCAAAAGACAGTAAAGATTTCAAGGGATCTGGGGAAAGTCATATTAACATTCGTTGACCTGGTTTTTTTTCAACCAATCGATTAAAATTTGTATAAAAAAATTTATATCTTTACAGCAAATTTCTTATCAAATGTCATCAATCTGAGTAAACATGAAAACGTCACTTGCAAACAAATGCTTTATGATCTTGGAAAAAAGACTGTCTCTAAAATAAACTTTCTCAATGGCTGACGGAAATAGCTGTCTTCCAGAGGAAATTTTTAATATGTTAGTAAATAATAGAAGTGGGCACTCATTTTTCACCTGCTCATTTAACTGACAAATTTTCAGATCCCTTGTCATTCAGTTAACAAACACCTTTCTTGTGCAAGCAACTCGCCATTGATTGCAGCAAATTAGTCTCAAACCCAGACTTCTCTCGCTTTTTTTGTTTTCCTCTATTTCTCTTAGGACAACATTGAGACAGAATATAAGTTTGCTCGCGCCCAACTATGGGCTGATTACATCGGAGATGGAGTTGCTACTCTCCCTCCCCCTCTTAATCTCATACCTTCTCCGAAGAGTATTGTGCGTTGGGCTTGTAAACTAACAAACAGATGCTTTGGAGTTCCTAAGAGATTGCCTTGTTGCACCAACGTAAGTATTAATTTTATTTCATTCACAGACTGAGACATTGGCCTTCGGAATTAATTTATATTTTTGTACACAAAGCACGCTTTTTTTTCGTTCTATATTCATCTGTAAATATTCTGACCGAGGCGCTAGCTATGCCTAAACGTTTACTTAACGGCAGCTTAGATATAAGTTTAGGCTCAACTCAAGATGTTTTTCACTAAAATTTGCCCATTACAACACTCTTTAATTGACAGTCGAAAAAAACGAAACCAAAGTAAATACTACAGCTGATCATAACAAAGAATAACATTATCATTTGCCAATGAAACTCTTCGTAAAAAATGGAAAACCACCAAAAGCTCGGGAAAATGCGGCTGACCGAGCCACGATTGGTGCCCGTTTTGCGTCTGATTGGTTGAGAGGATGGCGCAAAGTTTTTCTGGACGAATCACAGGGCGAAATTAAGCAAAAAACAAAAGTCTTGAGTCTTGACTACGATAACATATTCTTCAGAACTCCCACGTCAATTTGCATCTCAGTGAAACATTGTGGTTATCTAATCATTTGGTTATTATTTGTTTATTAATCATTAACGTTTTCTTGCACATACAGGAACAATTTCGTGTTTACCATGAAAGCAACATGGATATTGAACAGAAGAAACAAAACTATCAGGTGCCCACGGCTTTAAAATGAATTATATATATTATGACCGTATGCAGTTTTTTAACCGAAAAAGCTCCCTTACGTTTTATTTAGTGCTCGCAAATACGACACTTATCTTGAGAGAATACGATAAGGTGAGAGCCTCGAATTCGATTGTAGAGTGGAATTATGCTTGAAAGTAATCATGGGAAGGAAAACAAGAGTAACGGAAACGGAGGGAACTTTAAGTCTCATCAACATGGATAAATAGAGTGGAAACGGCATATCAGCATAGCCCTTTGAAACAGCAAATTCTGAGAACCAACTGCATAAATGGCAATGTTAGGTTGTTCAAAGAACAAAAGGTGGCGAAAAATATCTTAGCCTAGCTGATTTCCAATATGCTTTCATTTTCAAGAATGTTGTCCGAGAGCTTATCAGACGTTATTGGGCCCGGCGAAGACGTCAGAAAACCACCACAGAGAATGCCATTCCCGATCACCTGGCTGCCATGGCAACAGTTAGGGACCAAGTTTCCGACATGTTGAGCGAAATAAGGAATATCCTAAAAACAAATAAACAAAGGAAAGATCGAGATCGACATCAGTTGTCAGACGAGGGTCATTTACAGGTAAATAACAATGAGCTGTCAGAAGTTACATAGTGCAATGTGTGTACGTAACTGGTTGATGTAGACTGTAAGTCAATTTATTGATTTCATATCTCTCAAATGGACGGTATCGGATGGCCGGCGTGGAAGAATGTTATCTTGGCATTTCATAATATTTCTCAATCGTTTGAATCGCGTACTCGTGAGGAATATTGTCAGCACTAGAAGATGAAATTCGTAAAGAGCATGTAACGTTCTGTTCATTATATTTATGCTACACAACTGAATCAGGAAAATTGTAAAACACATTTTAAAAGTACCGAATGCAGACATCGCCTGCACGTAAATTCAACTCGAAGAAATGCTGGGTCTTTTGAGATAAAGAATAACACCAGTTCTCATGACAAAAAAGGTTCATACTTGGGAAATTAGCTGGCAAAATACAACAAAGAAAGGCTTTAGTTAATTATGATTGCTCTTCTTTGCAGACGGGAGAGTCCTCCGCGGCCAATGGAAATCATAATCACGTACAGCTTTAATCATGATCACTGATAAAGAGACATTTGGTTATATTTCTAAAATACATCCAGCTACTGAAAATTACAACTTACGGTGAAATTCTTTGATGAACGAAACTGTGAACTGAAATATTGAATGAAATATTACATGAAGTTGGTGCGTGAAGGCAACAAGAAATTCTGTGGGTGGCAAAATATCTGTTCACTCCTTGTGTGGAATTATTCTCTGGCGCGCTATCGCAAAGTGTTTCTCTCTCTCTAGCTTCTGTGAGCATGCCTTAATCATTAGCGCTTCAGCACCAGCATTTCTTCAAAAATATGAGGTCTTGAGCAACGTGGAAGGTCTGTAAGGGATCTAGCACTGATGGCAGATTCTTAGGCAACCTTTTCCCAACTCCTACGATCCATCTCAGAACTTCCCGCGGGTGGACAAACGCGCGTCTTGCAGTTCTATTTAAGAAGGCCTGTTGGCGAGCTCGTTTTTTCTCCGTTTGAAATTTCACGCAACGGGACGGGAAAGGTTGCCTGACATCCCGGGGAGATTCGTGTAATGAGATCCTGATTGTGCTTACCATCTTTTTTTTTCAAGTTTCTTCAGCTAATCTAATATTAAAAAACTGGAGAAATGGCAAAGTATGGATAATGATACCGATTAAGTAAAAATTAAGGATATTTCAAAAAGCTTGCCCGATAGTTTTAAATTGAAGATCTGCATTAAGCCAGGAATTCAGCTGACAAATAGTAATTTCTCCAAAGCGCAGTTCAATTTTGTAGTTGTTCGTAGTTTGGAAGTAAGGTCAATGTTATAGCATATTTTTGTAGGTAATGTAGCGTTTTGAAACTTTGCATTGTAGAAATTGTTTGAAAATAGAGACGGAATGGTTAGCTAACCTTGTTACTGTGTAACTTTTTGATAAGAAAGATGTCCACGCTGACATTTTTCTTTTGTACATGAATACACTCATTCTCATAGCAAAATAATAATTATATTTGTCTTTTATTGACGCACGTAAGTTAAACTGGTGTGAATGCTTCAATAGTGAACAAATGCGCCCGCAACGGCAGTTAAATAAAGGCCAGAGATAACCGCTGGACACTAAAGCGTGACATCTTAAAGGCTTTTCGTTGGCGTTACGTCTCGAAGCTGGTGTCTCTGACCTTCAAATGTTACTTTGTCCCCTGCATTGACATGGCGACCTCGTTTTAAGTACTTAACAAAAGCAGCAGAGGAAAAAGCTTCTGGTATTTACTGCACATAGGGCGACGTACAAAGAGCGTTTCAAACGAAGATCACAAATGTAAGTCAAAAATCCCCCTTTAAAGTTTGTACAATGTTGGGAGATTGAAAGGAAGTCTTAAAAGCTTTAAACTTATGAATTAAACGGAATAAAAAGAGACAAGATAGGGCCCAAAGTGCTTACAAATTTACCCCAAATCAAAAGAGAGTTTACTATACCATATGTGGGCAAAAATATTAGATCCTTTTGCAAAGGTAAATGTTTAAAAGAACCCAGCATGTTAAAATTAACATAGTTATTTTTATTTTAATGATGTCAGGGTGATATGCGAAAAGTGATATACGGAAAGTGCTCACAAACCTTATTAACAATAAGATTTAGTTCCATAAATCCTACATCCTATCAGTTGTAACTTGGACACCTCATATGAAATTTTGAGACATTTCATATGACAATCCAAGTTAGACTTATTCTTTGTTGAAGAAATTACTTCGTTTGATTATGTTTTCTATTTTCAATGTATAGTTATTTTTTAAAAATTTTTATATTTTCAATGGATACCACGAATGTTCTTGATCAAAAAAAAAATTAAATTTTTATCTGGGTCAAAGGTATTTGTGGTAACCATCGGTTCTTCAATAAAAATTTTTTTGATTAGGTTTTGGTGCTGGATGTGCTAAGTAATTTCCAGTCACATTAGTTATTATTGGATGTTGATCATATAGAACAGATACAGGATATACTGGGGGCTGATATGGAGCTTCATTGACCTGAGTGTAGACATCAGTCGGACGTATGAAGTTTTGGGAGTAAGGCGAGGGGAAAAGAGGACATGCTGTAAACGTTGAAGAGACGCTTGTTGCTCTTTGCTCCTCAATGGCAGATGAGCTGATACGTGATGGATTCGGGATGAGATGCTGCCTTGGGGAAATGACCAAAGACTTGCCTTTATGTGGTAAAGGTTTTCCCAAAATGTGTGGATGTGTCAATTTACGGTTTGATCCTAGAGTCGGAATGCAGGGCGACAACAAGATAGGGCGAGACTCACTCCCATCTCCAATGTTCAGAGGTGCAATGAAGCTGGTCTCCTCAACTGGAAAAGTTTCGGGACAAATTACTGACAGAGCAACATAACCTGGTCCATTTTGCCCCACGATGTTTCGCGGTGAACTGGATGGCGATAATTTCGGAATCGGAGGTTGCTTTGGGTAGATGACTGGCCGTGGGATCTCAGTCTTGTGTGATCCAGAGTCCTCTTCAATACACGGAGATAAATTGAGATGGGATGATTTTGGATTCAGCAAGATGATTGCGGGGTTAGAACTATGAAATGTTTCCCAGAAGTTGCAGTAAGATATGACATGGGGAGACGCCATTCGTTGTACAGTATTTGCTGCGGGAGATTCTGGTGTGTGTTCTCCATGTGAATCAGGTTTTATCTCGTTTTCTGCTCGAGGAGAAACTTTCCTTGCACGGAACACCCTTTTACAGCGTCTTGTTACTCCGGGGAGGTAATTATACGGAAGTTTGTCAAACTTGTAAGTCGTCTTTTGCCCCCTAACCTGGAAAAAAAGTTAGCAACGTTTATGCTAATGTGACATGAGCAAAGTGCAATGTGCCGATGTACAAAGGCATCTAAGCATACAGAGCTTTGAATAAAGAAGGGTACGTTTCTGAAGAGACCATGGTGCCGCGTCGGCCGGGTATTACAGGAGAATTTGGTTTTTATAACTGAGTTGAGAATGCAAATTGGCCACCATAAAATGTTTCTAAGGCTAATATTTCGAGCGCTAGCCATTCGTCAGAGAAAACTATAAGTGAATTGATAATGATCGTGATGAAGTGGCTTTTAGCACTGGCACATCCACGGAATGACTCCTCGTCCATTGTTTTCCAGTTTCGAAGTAGGATTTTGATAATAATATGTCTTTATTCGTTTATAGGATTAAAATATATTTGCTATGTTACAAGTTAAAAATCTAAAGCATACAAAGTATGAAAGGTGCAGAAAAATCCCCTATTCTAATGCTAAATTATATTTAAAGACTAATCTATTTACATAGATATTCAAAGAGCGGACCGTATTGATCTTGGGTTTTTCAGAGGAACTCCTTCTAGGGTTATAATGGGTAGATTTGATTCTAGGTAGAGAAGGCAGGAGAGGATGATTTACAGTGTTAGATACTTTCTTGAAAATGTTACGGTCTTGTATTTCCAGAGTGTTGTTAGCATTGATATATTTAGAAAAGAACTGACGTTTAAAACAGCGATCAAGGAAGCCTTGTACAGTGGAGGGCACCATAAACGGCTAGGCCGTAAAGAAAATTTGGCAAAACAAGAGTTTTGAATAGATGATTAATTTCGGATTCATTGTAACTTTCTTTGCGCAAAGTTCTTAAGATATGTAGGCATTTGGCATTCCAATTTTTCCTTCTTACCTTCGTAATAATTCCATCAGTGTAATACTGTCTCAAAGCTCGACTAAGTTTGTCATAGGTCATGCCTTGTCTACCATTTTCGAAGCCCCATAATTTTGCCACAGCTTCTGTCTTGATAATTCTGAATTCTCCCTTCTCCTGTCTCGTCCACATTATCAATGACTGACATCTTTTTTCTGCAAGGAGTTCTAATAGAAACTCCCAAAGATGCATCCTGTTCTTAAAATGCTTTCTTCGTGTTTGCTTTGGATACTGATCTGTGCACGTGGCAAAGACAACAATAAATGAGACTTAAACTAGAAAAGATTGGAACGGATATTCATAAAAGTTCAAAGGCGCCATAACTGCTGAAATAACATGAACAGCTGACGAAAAGGTTTTAATTTTTTTATGGATTCTTCTTGATATTAATAGTCTTCCAAATACAATCCATCTTTAAGGGTCTCAAAGAAACAAAATGGTTTCCTGTTCGGCTATGATTACCAACGGGGAAATTATTTGGGTAAACGTTGTAGCTGTTTGTGGAACCTTAAATAATTACTCTCAGAATGCTATGTTATCGGAAAGTAGAAAAAGAACTTTAGCCATTAGAAGAAATATTCAGAAGTTCTGCGAATCCGCAAGAACGCGAGTCAGGAGTTTTGACGTTGAGAATTGAAGACAGGAACTTTTGGAGCTGTTTTTTTTATAATTGCTATTTTCAAATATGGATCTGCAAATTGCTGTTTGATATTGAATGATGTCTGACTCGTGAGTTGGTCAGTATTTGAGGTATATATAAAAAAAAATTCACCCCAGCAGAGAAAGAAGTGGATGTCTTTCTCCAGTTCGATGATTAAGTTTTGTGTGTTTTCAATCTTGCTTTTTTCAATTCAAGATCTTTCTTCCTAACTCAATGATATTACCATTTACTAATTACTGCTATATTTGGGAATGAAGCTTATGGTAAATTTTACCTTGTCTCCAAATAATTACAATTCTACGTAATAGTGTAATTAAGGATATTGAACAAGTCCAGTTGTGATGCTCACACAAAATTAAAACCAAATTTGTAGAAATTCCACCTCCTTAATTTTCATAGCTTTACTAAGCCAATTCATGTTCTCTCTGAAGAATATTCGATAATATTTTCGTTATCTATGGCTACAACAACAAGGCGTGCAAGATCCTTTCTTCCAGCACTTTGTAATACAAGTAATCGGCAATTTTGCATTTCCCAACAGGTCCAAACTTTTTCAGTAATCTTACTCCAGTTACTAATAACTCGCCTTTTGTTGATAATTAGAAAATTCACTGTCAACAATTATTGACTCAATGATAAACTGATTTTCATATGAATACGTCTCTCGAGATAGTTGAGGTCTAAATCATTCATCCAGCATTTTTGGAAGAAAACTTATGCTAAAAAAGACTAATCTAGTTTTATTAGGTACCTTGGCCATGTATTTACCATAGAACTGAGTTACTTTATAAATCAGAGTTATACATATGATATGCGTGGAGGTAAGGGAAAAACATTTTCACAGCAGTGCCCTCGACGTCGAAATAATTATCACAGCTGAATGAAGTGGAATAATGGCAAATACATTTCAATTTAAATTATACGCCGAGGATAACTTGATGTTTTTTTGCAAAACACCCGCAGATGATTTGAAACGGAAAATACATAGAAATCTATCTCAGGAATTTGATCCAACTTAAGTGTGGGATCTTAAGAGTTTAAACTGCGAAACAACTACTCTGTTTATGAACATGCTTACGTACCTTTTCCATTAGGGATGGAGAAAGCTTTCTTTTCAGCGTCCATCTTTGTTTAGGGTAGAGGGAAGATGAAATGGCTTAATGCCCTCTGAACCGGATCTTAAATAGGGTAAAATTTGCTTTCGATTGCAGACCAAATTTAGGTCAAGGAAGTACAATGTATTATGATATTTGGGAGCCCTAAGTTCAAGAACCTCCACGGGAAGTTGAACCTGCGATATAATTAGACACGATCATATTACTGAACAATCAGTCGAGTTTCGATGCACTTGGTTAGGCTCACGCCCCTAATAGAGTAGCATAACAATTTTGCGGTCTGAAGATTCAGGGATGTATTTTTATCGTTCAAGATGAGTCAAATTTCTGCCGGGAACAAACGATTGCGGTTTTTTTGTTCAACCTTACGGTACACTATAATATCAGAGACTTTTGACTAATTCTGTCAGATTATAATATTACTATATCTGGATGCAGACTATCTGTCCCAGCTAAGACATCTATCGCTATAGTGGCTCAAGTATTAAAATTGGATTTTTTTTATTCTAGACTGAGGATAGTAAATCTTTTAGCGTTTCATTTTGCCGGATGTTATCTTCGTTTTGTTCTGCTTTGTTTTGTTTTTCTTTGTTGTTGTTGAAGTGGGAACTTATTTGTGCTGATCGAGGAAAATCTGTAAGTTCCTTGTTACACAGCCGGGTATTTGTAAAATAGGTTTGGGACTTGGTAGAAAAAATGGTGCAGTTAGTTTATTACACCAGGTGACACACTTGGTAATCATGTTATGATCAGATTATCAGTGGTAAGACTTCAGACATTTTTAATCCTGCAATCAAGTTCAATCGACCAGATGAAGTCTTCATGAAAAACACAGGAAGTTTAAGTAACGGATGAGAAGTTTCCAAAGTAAGCTCCCACTTCCACTTTACATCAGAGCCGAATGAACATCCAACAGTGTTTGTTCCTCGAACTTTCCTTTTGTTTTGCAATAACCAGATCATTTAAAGAAACACTTATCACAGGTGCACAGAATCAACTTCTGATTATATGCAAGAGCCTGAAAAATTGATTCTATAACTCTCTGCCATTCTGTGATCTTAAGTGTTCCTCTTTGCTTTAAAAATAGAACAGAGCATAAAGTCCTTGAAAGCAGACATCAGATTCAATTGTATTTAACCTCCTTTGAGCTTGTATTTCCGCTACTAATGTGTCTTACATTATTATAAACTGTATAAAGTACAGGTGCCAAATAGACGTTTGTCAATGAGCCAAACGGATGAGCTCCTCCCAGAGCAGATAAGTTGAATTGGGTCTATAGTTCCAGTTTAATCAACCGTACAATTGCTACACGACTCGATCTCATTGATTGAGTTGAAATCGTATCTTCGTCACAAAACCGTTCACAGTATTTACTTTGGGTTTTACGCTGGCAATAAAATAGATGAGGGATAAAAATCGTTTGTGAATAGCCCATAATTCGCTTAAATTGGAATGAAAATACTTCATTTTTGTGTGAAAATGATATTCTTTCTGTCTACTTGCGCTAAATTGCCCAGAAAACTTGCAAGATTCAATAGCCAAAAGCGTTTTTACGCATACAACATTTGACAGAAGGTGGACCACCGATTATTGATGACTTATGGAGATGCATCAATGCGCAAGACCGGAAGTGTTTGCCACGTGTAAAATTCTTGACAGAAAAAAAGTACAACCAAATCAAAGTTCTATTCTTGTCGAGAACAAGATTTTTTTGCCAGCTCAGAAAAATCTGAACTAGTTCTGAGTTTTCCCTCCATATAATCAAAGCCGATGAGCTAACCGTCCCTAACTCAACCCAGGAAATTTCAAGATATTTAAGGAACAACTTCAGCGAGGTTAGTTTGTTTTTACTCAGAGCGAGCTTTCAGTTGAGACTGTTCTTTCCCATTCAAATCCTTACAGTTTGCCCATTGTGCGATGTACACATTTTTACATGCACTAAATTCACGGAGGGTCATAGTACGAGCTTGGGCTACCTGTGGCATAATTAGAGTCTTAAAACCCAGAGAGAGGAGAAGTAGCTTTTGACTTCATTTCCAGTAAAAAATTCCTCGTACAATTGTGCCGTCGAGTCTCGCGACTTGGTATCGTTTATTCACCGTGAGCACAAGCTGTTCCCGCGAGACTTCCTGATTGCCGTTTGTGTATCGCCACTACGTGATAATTACTTGTTACTAATTATTTGATTAGTTGTATTGTGAACATGTTTATGCTTTCATATCGTCCCAAAATGTTACGTAATTTATAAAGGGGAGTTTGTTTTGATTTCTGTATTAATTTAAGCCTGTATATCAATGTTTACATTCACTTTTTAGAAGCAGCTTCGTCGATGCACCGTTAAGTAAATATCTTTCTTTCTTGTGAATTTTTTTCTACAAGTTTTCGTTCTCTTGTATATATTTAAGAAACGTGTCTAAAATCAGACATTAGTGTCTAACAACGGACACCAGAGTCCACATCATAAAATCGAACACAAATGTTCAAATTTAAAAATCAGACCAAAGTGTCCAAATTGTAAATTCGGACACCTCTGTCCAAATTATAATATCGAACGCTACTTTCCGCATTATAAAATTGGACATTAGTGTCCAAGTTATAAAATCAAACAGAAGTGTCCAAACTAGAAAATCGTGCACTAATGTCCAAATTGTAAAATCGGACACTAGTGTCCAAATTATAGAGTCGGACAGTAGAGTCTGAAATGGGACACGAGGGTTTAAAATCCAAATTGTCAAATCAGACAGTAGTGTCTAGAATCGGAAACTTGTGTCTAAATTGAGACAGCGGTGTCATAAGATAGCCATTAGTATCCAAATCAGACACTAGTGTTTCAAATCAGACTCTAGTGTCTTAAACCAACACTAATGTCCGAAATCGATTACTGACGTCTAAATTTAAACATAAGTGTTTAAAATGGGACTCCCGTGGTTAAAATTGGACACTTATGTCTAAAATCGGACTCCGGTGTCTAAAATCATACACTAATGTTTAAAATATGACACAAGCGCACATGCCATGGATTTGCGAGTTACATACATACTCAAACATGCTCATTTTCTCCTCCTTTTCCCCCTTCTTTAGCCTGCTATACAGTTGTTCGCTTATGTTTAAAGTAGTGTCTTATTTTTACGGACGTACACTTACATCACGACCGAGTATTATCGCCTTGATAAGCTACCAAATTTTCTAAGCTATGGTGCTGCGCCGCGCGCACGATGTGAGCCTCGGCATGATTCAATAAATCTTATACCATAGCCTATTTTTTCTTTTAGTTGTCACTTGCCTGCCCCTCCCCTAACCCAACATTAACCCTAACTTGTTATCAATTGACTCTTGTTGAGTTAGGGGAGGGGTAGGTGGGCAGTTACACAGAAAATGATATTGATCCTCACTTGCAAACCCACCATGTTACTGTTCTCCATCCTTAAAAAGCTTACTTTTCCTCTAATCAGTCAACCCTGCAATGCAGATGTTGTCTGAAAAGACAGATCAGAGTGTCTTAGGAGAAGTGTCTGCGCTAAAGAAGTCATGATGGCGACTTCACTCTGTGTCATTTTTCAATGCAGTCTAAAGAATATTTGAGAAGAAATAATAATAATAATAATGATAATAATAATTCTTTATATACATATGGCACTATTTCTATTGCTATCCAATAGCGCTTTACAACGACTGAAATAAACATAAAGTGCTTGATAATCTCGACCGGCAGGAGGCAGACCAGTCCAGCACCCCAACTGCTTGGCCACGCCTCCTTCCTGGTCTTGCGTTTGGGGAACACACAAACTATCAACGGGGAGGAGCTGTCAGGATATATTTTGGGAATATTTTGTGCAAACACTGGAGAGAGATGAACGTCAGTCTCTCCCATGGTTTGACTCACCCTCAAAACCAAGATAACATATTTTATTCACCATGGCTAGAAAAAAGTTCTTTATTGTATTTAGGAGTTACTGTTTTCGAGACCTTTTTCATATTTCGACAGCTAAACCATTAATTTCTTTTTATGAGTCACTATATGAATTTAAAAAAATTGGAAGTGGGGAAATAGACGCAACTTCTTTAGATGTGTCAGTTGATATCTAAAAATTGAAATGATTCACCCGTACATCTAGAGTTCGTTATTACATCTATTCAGATCCTATCCTTCAAGAAATGTTTTCTGTCGATTAATCTAATTAGATATTCTCCTTTTGCAATATAACAACAAAAAAATAAAATTGGTTGTGTTATGTAAATTTTTACTTCTTTGATACTAAGATGGCATGTAGAAAAGTCTATTTCTAACGAATTCTGAAAGATAATATTTTATAAACCAAAGGTCTGAGTACCATAATTGCCTACTTTTTACAATCTAGTCGAAAGCACATTATAGTGATAAGATGTTGACTGTCAACACTTAAAAATATTTTACATTTTCTACTTTTTACAAAATCTCTCGATCCCCAAACTCACATTGGCTCCCCTCCCTCCCCCACTCCTTCAGTGAAAACTAGTTCTGAACTGACCTACTTCTAAAGATTGGTTAGGGGGTGGGGGTTGGGAATCTTAAAAGAAGGCACATTTGATCAGCGAAATTTATAAAAGAAACCCCAAAATGTCACCAGAGTGTTTTAAGGAAATTTTCAAATATATTACTATCCTTAAGGTAACAGGAAGTAATTGAGAACACTCTGATCAAAAGGGATGTCGATCCCCCTATTATATTTGTTTGATAATCTTTCCTCTGTTTGAAGGGTTCAGCTGTATTTTTCCAGACACGAAAAGAACACAAGGTAAAACTTGATCCCTGATCTCGTTGCACCTACTAAATCTCATTCGCTAAATTATGCGCTTTTCTTATCTTATTATATAATTAACACTAATTTAAAAGACCTGGACCTTCGAAAATTATACAAGTTAGAGTAGTATAAATTAATCAATGTTGTAAAATTTTACAACTGCAAGGAATGATTCAATAAATGTTGTAAAAAAAACAGTATTACTCAGTCTTTTTAAAAGAGCACCGTAACCCACGTGTCTTCTCAAATTTTGCTTTACATCTGTTCTATCCAAAATTTATGAAAGACTGCGTGACACTTACATGATTATCCGTACGGTTTATAACAAACTGCACTACTATGGCGAGCTAAACTCGACTAAAAGTTTTATGCCATCGCTTGGCCATCGGCCGGGATCACCTTTTGTGGTAGAGCTGTTGGATGACCACATTTCATGATAACAGGCACTGAAATGTGCCTTATTCCATGACTCGCCTCACTGAAGTAACATTCGTTTCGTGCAGAAACAGATGGCACGTGAAGATCATGCTTACTTCTGATTGGCTCTTGTGGGTCTTTGAGGTCTGGGATATTTGGGGTGCTCAGGTAGTTTGGATAAGAAATTACTTGGAACACTTCTCGCGTGGAAGAAGTCTTCTCGTGCTTCTCTGTAGTTTTTGATTGGTCCTCCTTCTCCAGAATCCCACTGTCGTAAAGATTTTTGATTGGCTTATAATTGTAAGGGAGATCTACAAATTTGTAGACTAACCGCTGACCACTGACCTATCATTTAAACGAAACAAAATTTGTAAATATAAGATGCATTTTAGTATCGGCTCTTTCTGAGTTGGCTTAAAATTGTTTTTTTTAAACACTTTATTTGATGAATCGATACGACCACACACTTTTTTGGTTTGTTTCTTTGAAAATGGTAATAAATAAATGCCAACTTTTAACGAGTTACGACTTTTCCTTAACATTATGGTTACCATAACATGTCTACATCCCCTTTAGAAGCACATTTAATGGGAGTTATCTGTGTCTGTATCCAAAAAACGAGTTCAGTGTGTTTTGTGACTAAAAATCTTTACGTTTGGTGCAGAGCCCCCTAAATAGTTGGTGCAAATCCCCCCTCAAGAAATAGAAGCATCTTGAGCTTACAAAGACAAGGAAAATGAAACAAAATGGTGAGCATGAATCCCGCTGGAACCTCAAATTCCCCTCTCTTTTTCCTTTACCAACGAAAACTGAATTAATTTCTAATTTTTTATTTACTTTGTCAACACGGATTATTAAAAAAAAATTCCACCTGCCTTTCTGATGATATTTTTTTGATAATAATATCTAAGGGCCCGGCTTAGTTTGTCATAATTCATTCCTGGTCGTTGTTTCAGTTCCCCCCAGCGCTTCGCAACTTCTTCCTGATTGCGAAGTTTGAACTCTCCTTTTTCACGTTTTGTCCACGTTATCAGCGAAGAGTATCTTTCATCCGCCAAAAGCTCCAATAAAAATTCCCACAAATGGACTGCACTTCGGGATGTTCCGCGTTTCTTGGGGAGAGAATCTGAAACTGTAATGTAAAAAAAAAAGCGGAAATGTTTATATGATTTATTCCTACACGAGGAAAACAAAAGAGAGAACTTTAATTCCTCCTAACAACGTCTTTTACGAAGTTAATGACGCACATCCCGCCCACACATACAGTGTTTTCACCTCGATATATTTGAAAACATTGTTTTCAATTAATCCGGATTGACATTGAAAACAATGGAAAAGTTTGAATGAATGAACGGATAAATCCTCTTTAAATCGGTCTCGTATGAATTGTAGCACTTTAGTAAGTTTAAATATCAGCGAGCTTACATCGGGAAAAGTTTTAAAACTAGTTTTCCTTTGAAATTCGCAATTTATTCATAGTTTCTTCAATTTCATAATTTTTTACCAAGCGATTGGGTTAATTTTGTCTCCTTTCCTTTCATTAATTCAACAGAATTAAAGCACAATATGTCTTATGATAAATGCCAAGTGATGCCTTCAAACTGAAACTTAGAAAATCTGACATTTAAACTCGATAGATGTTCCTTGAAAGCAAGCACCTAGAAAAAATTTTAAGGGTTTTTTTTTAAATAATGCGAAAGACTTCTTACCAAAACATCTTCAGACATTTATGACCTTAAAATTAAAATTGACTTTCTCCTTACAGATTTCAGATTATAGATTGCCAGGGATCCTTTCATGGGAAACAAAAGAAACACACGCGTTTAAAGTAAAGTAAAAAAGAATCATGTTTTCGATTCTTTGTTGGGCAAAACTTCAACAATCTGAAATGTTAAAACAATCAACTGTTTTTGTTTTAAGTAAATTTTAAAAAAAATCATGTTTTCGATTTTTTGTTGGGAAAAACTTCAACAATCTGAAATGTTAAAACAACCAATTGATTTTGTTTTTTGTAAATAGTTAAGATTAGAGTAAGCATATTCTCGACGCTAAAAAGAGCCCGCATTTGACATTTCAAGGAATTTGAAAATCCTAATTTTTCGAAAATAAGGAGCAAAATTACGTAGGCCAAATTGACGAAGTTTTTTCCTTTCTTTACCTGAGCAAGTTTGCTTCAGTGAGTCCGCCATGGTAAATTCGAATTCCACACAAAGTGATTTTTGTCAAGTTGACCTGCACTCGTTTTAAATGAACTAAGTCGGATAGGAAACTCTTATGTATCAACGGATAGTGAGCCCGCTTTAAATTATGTTGAGGGGAGACAAAATGAGTGCAAATGACCGGTAGGTGGTCAGAGAGGAAGTTAAACCAAAATACTAAAAGCTTGCGCGAGTTTCCTACGCACTCAGCTGCCATTCGGCAAAACAGAGGGCGAATGACGTTCGTTTGGGGCTTTAGGTGGCTTCCTGACGAACACGATGGAGGTTTTCTTTCTTCTTTTCAAACCCGGAATATTTTTGTCAAAAAAAATGCACCGTTTGTGAAATTCTATTGAGAGCGGCCTGAGTTTTGCTTGTTTATTAAAGAATCTCAGTATGCTATCGTTTGCGTGTTTCGAAGGATTTTTCCTTTTTCGCAAAATCTTAACGTTAAAAATTTTCTTCGTTTAGTAGGGATTATTTTTCATCTCAATATGATTTTGATTGTTTTTTTGTTAACAAGTCTACGTCTTTGGTGTATTTTATCCGAGGTAAAGAGTGAAGTGCTTGGTGATCAATTAATTTTAATGCGTCACTTCCATCGTGTTTCCTTCGTGAACTGTAATTTGTATTTCCTCTTTTGAAACTCAAATTAAGTCTATGTGCGCCGCATAAAGCTGACTAAAAGCATGATAACAAAATTAATTTACAGCGTGTACTTGTTGTTCGCATTTGCACATAAATGCATCTTAATTCAATTAATATCCAAAAACTATATATAATTAATCCTTTCACTAACTTGTGGGTACTGGATTTAAGTGCTGACCAAAAATGAACGCGCATGCGCTCTTTTAGATTCCCCCCCACACAAGCATACATACGCACACCCAGTTCGCCCACTGAGATATAATCTTATTTAGCCTGTAATAAAACAAGAATGGAACAAAGAAAAGCGGAGAAAAACCAAGGGTGAATGGGAATAGCTCTTCCTTGTTTCCAGGCCTCGATTGAACCACACTTGGTGCAAAAAAAAATTTTTAACGAAAAAATTGCTCGAAAAAGTATTTTAAAGGCATCATTATTGAACATGTTTTTAGCAGAATACAGTAACCTGTCAGCATCTTGCAGATCAGTCATTCGTAACAACGTCAGTTTCGACAAGAAGTTGATCTACTCGACGGTGGAAAATAATGATATTTTTCTAAACTAGGTTGAAACGCTGATAATAGCTTCTGCAAAATTAAAGCATTAAATTTGTTAACCCTTTAACTTAACCCTTCTTCTTACTGTCTGATCAGGGAATTACCACAAATATCTTGCTTCCTACATGCATCGTTATTAGGCCTCCCTCACTCAAATCGAACGTACGAGTTAGAGTCCATTATTCTCTTGCCTTCTCGAGAGAAGACGTTCGTTCATTTTTTCTGTGGCATAATCTGAGACAAGAGATTATGATCTCTTTCTGAGAATATTTGAATAAATTGTGGCATGATGCGTCAAAATCATGAAACCAGTGCTAGCGCAACAGTAAGCAACAGAGGGGCTCAATGCACTGGAATTTTATTTTCTATTTCCCAAATCCCGCTCATTTAATTCTAATTGCCCTCTCCTCTACGTGTGCCTTGAAAGGCAAAAAAAAAAAAAAAAAAAAAAAAACATACCACCGGAGTCAGCCATCTTTAATAACGACAGAGCCGCTGCGTGATTTTCAGTAGTCGAATAAGTTTGCTGCTCAAATGGGAGAGGAAGCTTGACTGCAAGATTGTAGGACAGTGTCATAAATGTTTTTTTGTCTCTGCAAAAAAAAAAAAAAAGAACTTTAAAACTGTCATTCATATTTCATTTTTTGATAAATGACACAGTCTTGTCACATCAAGGTACATCTTGCATCTTTCATCTTACCGTCTGATTTACATTTATTTGGATGGAAAATGTTATGGTTTATAGAGGTTTCGCCCCATTGTAGTAAAACAAGTTGCCCCCACCTTTGACAGTTCGCCCGTAAAATTGTTACGGCAGAATCAATCATAATTAAATGTTGCTCGAAACATAGTGTGGTAGGGGAAAACTTGAAATGGAGCAAAACGTCTGTGAACTAACGTTAGAGATAAAATAGAATAAAGTAATATTGCTGAGGAAAAAATGGAGACAAAACCTTCTTGTTTCAAACTTACAGGCTATTCTTATTAACAAAGCTGATGTTCCAAAATAAACAGTGATCTATAGAAAATCCTTGGTATGCTCTCATGTTGTAATAAGACGCTATAACATAGCCCCCTCCATCCCCCTCCTTGTTGAAGAAAATTCCCTGACGGCCGCACCCCTATGAGTTATCTTAATTCGTATCAGTTTAAATATACCATAGGCTCACCAGTTTATCTACCCATATATCCCTGTTTCATTGCCTTAAAAAAGAGGCAATATGTTTTGGAGGCGTCGAGTTAAGCTGAAGAACACACACTTATAAGGCCTCGCCAATAAGTATTATGTACAGTGGTTACCAGGCTCAAAACGGTTGACTTAAATATAGAGGAACTGGACGAATGTCACGAAATCGAAATGGGAGGCCAACCAAATCTTTCAATGAGGACTGATATTCGACTCTGACACGTCTTTGAGGAAAAAAAAACTGGTCTGTCTAACAAAAAACGTCTGAGAGCCGTTTCACTGTCTGTGTCGGGGAAAAAAAAATAAGCATTTCGCGTCCTAGAGCTCCGAGACTATGCTGAGACAGTAATTCAACGAAGACAGCTCGTCGTTTGGCGATGAGAAAATGGGCACGCTGGTACGGCATGACATGCAAAGGCAAAATAGTTAGACGGATAAGGCTTGCTAATAACCTTTACGTCACTTAGCCAAAGAGTTTTTGACGGCGATGAAACTAGTAAGTCGTTTTTAACTTGTCTCAATAGAAGATAAACGTGTGTTGGTGATGCTAAGAGTTGCGTTGAATCACCACACAGTTTTTTCTATATAATTGAGGTAAATCAGTGCTTATGTATCCTGTGATAGAGCTCGATTCAAGCTAAAATGGTTGAATGCGAAATATTGTTCCTGGTGAGGAATTAGAATATTAGCTTCCTAAATTGCTTCACTTTGATATCTTTCACCTGTTTCTTGATAATAACAACCTGTACACTCTCGAAACCATTTACCCATGGCGATTTCCTCAAGGTTCAGTCAGTGTTTATCATATTAAAAGCCAAAAAACCAAGAAGAAATAACAGGCTCTTTCACTTTTAAGCATACTATTGAGCAAAACATCATTTCACCTTAAAATAATATGATTTAGGTCAAGAACTTGAAACCTGATTGCTTCCAGTGCATATCATTCACCAACTTCTCCGTCACTGTTTTGATCGGCGCAAATTTGTTTTGAAGCACAGTGTTCTATTTAGCTGTAAACATTCAGCTGCGAACCAGCTAGGTTAAATGTTTTACCCTTTCCTACCTTGAGACCCTATTATCTTCTACAGAATATCAGTGGTTCCCCGCAGACTAAGAGAACGAAACTCAGTAAACGAACGAGATATCACTGATTTGATAGCGAAACATTGCGATCCGGAAACATAAATTCTGCTTATATGGTATTTAAGGGTGTATATCTGGTCTATATTTTCTGTCTACTCTGAATCGAGGTATTAATCGAAAGTGAAAGCCCCAGTAATTCATGGATACAGTTTTTTAACTTGGAATTTAACAAGAGGCGTGTATATCGTCGTGAAAATTTTACGAGCGAAGACATTAAAACGAGGAAGCTTTCAACATTCTGTTACCTGTTCTTAAAAAATGTAACTGTCTAAGCCTAAAATCGGTGAGATTCATTGGTTGATATTTCGTTTAGTTCGCATAGAAAATATCTTCTGCTCAACATCGCTCAAATCTCCACAACTATCTCCTAACATGTATTGCTAAATATTTCGGAGACATTAAAGAACTGGTCACGATTCTAAGTCGTTGGAGTGAACGTGACCTTATATACTTCCGCCGATTCTTCTGTTTACAAACGAAAATAAATCTTAATTCGCAAAATATACGGAAGCCTTCTCTGCGAAACCTAAAGTCCCTCAGTATTTAAATGATTTATTCCACCACGTCCGGTGACAGTGTTACATGCTACAAGCTTGAAACGTACTGACAGTGTTTTACAAAGTTTTCGATTGTTTTGTATAGAACCATAGGTTGGGAATTTGCCATATGCTTTATAACTTAATTTTCAATTTAACATTCCGAAAAGGATTAGAATTAACGAACACAGCTAGGTCATAACGTATCTTTTTAATAAAAGGTTTAATTTCTTTAACCGAGTTTAAGTTTTGAGTCAGAGTGAAATTTATAAATTTATGTCTATGCCATATTTCGAGTAAAAGTTTAATATCATTATACTGAAGTATTTCAAGCCTTTTTAGACTAAAATATACGTTCAACAGACAAATTAAAGGTAGTAGTAGTATATGAGGAAAGCCACGAATGGGCTACAGAAGCCCTGAGGTTAGTTACCCTGGAACCTTCTGCATTAAAACAAACAATTCTCCCAATAAAGCAGGTTGATACAGCGACTAATATCATCAAAAAATGATGTAGAAGCACTTCCTACGTCAAAAAAACAATAGGTTACAGGAAAAGAAAGAAAGGAAATTATCAGAAGATAAACTGAGCTGCCTTGTGATAAAAGGCAGTTCAATAACATTAACAGTTTTGTGCCTGAAACAAAAGAGTTATTGTGCACCTGGACACCAATGCCAAACATGAGCAATTACAAGCAGAAGATGAAATTTGAAGGTTAAAACATCGCATGAAATTAAGAGAGAACTGAAAGATTCTAACAGGCCATGAAAATCAAACTCTGATTAAAAGAAAACTTGGAATAGTGTGGCAATTTGCACCACCCCATGAAAACAAAGGAAAGACAAGGTAGACTGAGTCATACCATGCTTTACCAAGTCAACCCAGGCCATGACCAAGCCATGCCATGGGATGGAAACTTTGCTACAAAAAAAGGATGAGAAAATATCACCCTAAGACAAGTTGAAAAACCTTGTCGTGGGTAACATGACTGGAAATTGTCTGTCACTGAACTGACACAACATATAAGATGTGCCATGCTGAAAAAAGTTGAATAAATAAAATTATATTTTGTACACTATACTATTCTTCTTTATCGTCCAGAACTGCAGATCATTAATTGCATTTGCTCAATAAAAAAGAACCCTACATAGGTATTTTAAATGACCTAGAGAAAGAATTCTTCATTGTGCCTGAGAAACCTAAGTACCAAGAAGCTATGAGAGGTAAACAAAGACTGGACACTAGTGAATTGGGTCCCCCGCAGTTGAAACAGAAGAAGATCATTTCTTAAAGGCAATAAAAAAGTACCAATAAAATAATGAAAAAAAAGAAACTTATGGTATGGAAAGTTTGATGAACAGACCGCATGCAAGTGAAGATCTAACCTTGCTAAGCAGGGTATAAAAATGGAATCGTTCACAGGTAGGAGAGACAAAGATCATCAGGACATTTTAAAAGCCAGAACAGAGCTCCATATACAAAGTGTAGGCTCAATCTTGTATTTAGATGACATCGCAAGTGGAACATAGGAGGAGAAGTCTGCGAAACAAAACTGAAGTGCCACGAAGTTACAAAGATGAAAACAAGGGTAAACCATTTAGAGCAGAGACCATCAGAGAGAGAGGGAAAGATAGAGACAGACAGAGACAGACAGACAGACAGACAGAGAGGAAGAAACAGAGAGAGAGAAGAAGAGAAGAGAAAAAGAAATAATCAGAAATTAGCATTGATTGTAAATCAGCTCCGATAATATACAGACACATTCCCCTGCAATAACTCAGGCCAGGAAGTGACAGTGTTTTTTCATGTAACTTCATACCAAATTTATAGATAATGGAGTCCACTGCTTCTCTTGCCAGTTTTTGGGTATCATTCCTTTGTAAGTATCCGCAGGGATTTTTACTAGTTGAGTCCACGAAACTACTAAGCTCTTTTCGTGTGATATTTTAATTTCATCATAAACAGTTTCACCCTCAATAAGCTCAGCCATTGGTGTTAAAAGTAACGTCAGAAACTGACCCAATGACGAATTGCGTTGTTTCAGGTTTTAAACCTGCGTGAATTGGGAATGTTAACAAAAAAAACTTAATTCATGTTTACAGTATTGCATAGATCAAACAACCATCCTTTCTCACAGCATAAATTAACTAGGGGAAGTGGTAAGCCCCTATTGACTTCACTCTACGTTACCAAGACAACAAGCGCTCCAACTCACATGGCATTGATCAAACATGGCGAACTTCCGTTCGTGACAAGAACAGATGTGTTTAACCTTTGATTTCACAAACAATTTGTACGTGCCAAATTCCTCTAAGGCCGTGAACATGGTGAACGGAGAGAAATGTGTTTAGCATTTTTGGCTCTCTCATAAAAGTGCAATTTTTTGAAAATAAGAAAAAAAAAACATCCGTGTAGTCTATTCCTTTATAAACACATGGTTGAGTTCCTTGCAGAATCCGATCAACGATCAGCGAGTCAGATTCTGTCCGTCGTTGTCTAGTCGCTGTGCTGAACGGTAAGAAAATACTAGGTATTATTTCTTCAAAGTGATATCTTTGTCAAAGTCGTAGTTTCAAACCTTAATTAAGTTTCAGCAGATAAAAGAAGGTGCTTTTAGCCTATACTTCAACAACAAAGTCTTCTTCCTCACAAATAATATCACTCACAAACTTGATGATTTAAGTGAGAACGTTTCTCGTTACACAACACTGAGTAAAAAGATAAACGAGACGTCGCGACGTCAAGAAGTCTAATGTTGCGTCTTCTTGACTGTAATTGTAATAATTTTCTAAGTTTTAAAGGAAAGAGCCTTACGATCAAGACCAAAGACCGATGTTTCTCTGGCAGTAAAGTAACTCCAAGATTTACCGAAATATTTCTCACTTCCCTGATTCATGCCGACGAGGGCTTATTAGACGTTTTCAATAAATTTAAGATCTTCGAAATACAGGAACTAAAAGAAAAAACCGAGCAAAAACTTTCCCGATGAAATTTGGTATGGCGGAAGGATATGAACTAGGATGCATATGTTATTTTGGGGTAACTTGAGTTGTATTGATTATTAAGATCACAAAAGTATTTCCTTCTTCCTTCTTACTGTTCAGCAATATCGTGTTTAATAGATGACTCACCAAAGAAACAGTCTTATTTTTATTCAAAGGAACTTTCAGAAAAGTGACTTTTGCAAACAACTGTAAATTCGCAAAGGTATTCATCCACATCTATTTTGAAAAACTTTATATCATGTCTTTTGTATATGGCATTTCGTTTTTTTTTCTAGCATACGTGACATACCACAGCATTTTTGCAACCTTGCTGGAAAGATGAAGTTACAATTCAGACAAAGGATCAAAGTGTGCTGTTATCGATAAAAGCAAACAATATTCTGTTGGCCGCGAACAGTCACCGCGCTGAACTAAGAAATGGCCGTAAATCTTCAACATCATAGCAATCTAAATATTCCGTAAGAAGCAATTCACTTAGCGTGTTTCTTCACTTTCGTCTTTGATCCTTAAACTTCAGTGTGTGGCTTATCATATAGCCTATAGCTTGAGCTTAAAATCTCATTAGATTATTTACGCATCAAGTCTTCGAAGAAAGTGCCTCTGTGAGTCACGAAATTTTTACCTAACGTTTGACGAGAGAGGCTTTGACAGAAAAATAAATCCGACAGCACCAATACAATGGTCAGCCATAATATTAAGTAAAACGGATCCAGTAAATATCTCAAAGCGAGTAATTAAAATTGGTTAGTCGAGGATTCAATTATCGACTTATTTCCTAAAAGAAACAACGTCTTCAAATTTATAGCCAGCTTAAAGAGGAAGCAGAAAGAGGCTGAGCTTATTTTATGGTGACTTACCAGCAAAATTGCTCCAAAAACCAGGTTTCAATATAGTTCACTGCGATATTTTCCTCCGAAGCGTGATCTTAAATAAACGAACACCATTTACTACAAAACATGACAACAAAAAAAGGATGCAATATATTCCAAAACTGGAGTCAACTTTCTGAAGAAGGAAGTAGGAAATTAATGAGATTTCGCTTACCAGGATTAGCAACCTCGGAAAGCACTCAACCGGGAGATTGTGTAGAACGTGTAAACTGGAACAGGACGGGAAGAGAAGTGACTGTTTTTGGTTTATTTCTAGCTTTTGTTGTTGTTGAAGAAAACAACTTCCTTTTTTGCTCTTAGTCAAGATCAGTTTCGATTTCGGAGTGACCTCATATAAGCATCGCGTTATTCAAACGACACGTATTCGTTTGAGAAGATAGAGTAACAAACAACAATTATTCAGCATTTCTTCCTGTGAGGCCCTTTTTAAAAAGGACAAAACGTTCATTTTTTTTGACAGAAGATTTGATTTCCACCAAAAGGATTTGGAGCCACTCAGACATGATATTAATTTCCGAGTTCATACTACTGAGTAATAGTAACGATATCAAATTCCGGATTTCCAAAAATTTATTTTAAGAATCGACGTTTCGTAACTTACCGTCATGCTTACATGAGTAAAAACCTGTCTTTTTGTTTTCCACAGTATCTAAGCAGTTTGCATAGTTTTTTTAGATTTACAACACAAAACTACAGCTGTATTAAAGAAAAATGTTACGAAAACAATCGAAATGGCAGGTCACGCGCGATTAACGCGCGGGTCTGCGCGTAGAAGACTGCATTAGTTAGTTCCCTGCCGAATTACGCCGACGACGATTTTTGCGTGGGGTAAGTTTTATTGTGTTACTATTTTGGTTGTTTTTGATGGACAATTTTTTGAATAAAAATACGTAGCTTGCTCGGCCTTTATCTAAGGAATAAGCGAATTCAACTTACTGGCGTCACTACACGTGCTGCTATTGCAATAAAGTGACAGAATTTAGTTACTTTGATTTAAAATTCGGCTTTTATTTTGCCTTGTGATTTAATAAGGGACGAATTAATCTGTGTTAAGGAATGGCAGTATCATCAGCTGAAAAGAACAATGTGGTTGCCTTGCTTAAAGGACGAGAATTACTTCCGGTGTAGGGTTTGCCACTCCATCTCAAATGTTCCTAAAACTCCCGAACTTGCAGACAATGGTGACTGAATTTCCTGAATTAAAAATTACAATTTTGGAGGCTCGAAAAATGATTTAAATGTAAAAATGTGCCAAGATATTCGAGAAAATCTAACCCTTTTTTTTGCTTCAATCAAGTTCTATTATTCTGCTTCATCTTTCCTTCAATATTCATCAGTTCCACAAAATAATATCCATTTTTGAACCTTTTATCCGAAGTAATATGACATGAAGTCTTCTTGACGCACTTTATCTTCCCGGGAAACGTGAATTTATTCCTGATTCGTGATCTCTTAGTTTGTTTTCTGTGAACGCGAAAGATCAGTTTTGGGTATTATCCGTGACGCGAAAAATACAATATACCTTCACAACACTGAATCATCTTAAAACATAGAGTTGACTTGGACGGAATATCCACGCTATTCGATCTGTTATATGCGATCAAAACTTACCAAGCAAACATTATAGAGTATGATATGTAATGGATCCAAGCGATACAATTTCCGGTTCTTTTTTTTGTTACTCGACTTGAAAGAAAGGATCGTGTTTTTAATCACTTTATTTCACTGTAATGAGTTGTCTAGCTGCTTACTTTTCAAGAGTATAATAAAATAATCGTTACAAATCTTGTTTAAACTAAGGGGATGATATCATCTTGTAAAATTTAGCCGAAAGTTTTAAGTTTAGTGTCGCACAATCCTAAGTATCCTTCTTCATCATTTTTATTTCCTTTAAGTACAGTGTTGCCTCTTTGTTGTTTGTCTGCCTCAGCACATTTAGATTCAAAGGTTTTTTACCCGTTGAGAATAATTGTTAATAACCAAAAAGAAAACAAAGCAAGATATTGTGTTTTAACGCTTCGTTGGAACTTAATACGAATGATATTTCCAAACAATGATGTGATATTGAACAGTAATATCGAGTCCCTCAGAAGTTTTAGTTGACGAGTTTCGTTCAGAACTTCAGCGTTTCAGTAACATTTTTCTACCTTCAACTGGCATTTCAAATTCTCAGCGTTTATAAAACACGAAAAAGGTGAATCGATATAATAAATTTTAGTGTGGCGATGGGTCCACGACCTTGTAATTAACTGACGTTAATCACTTCAACATAGACTTTCAGTCTGTGCCCCCTTTAATTCGCTAATTAGTTCAGGGAAACGGAACTCACTGTGCGATGCATGCAAATTACAAATTTTTCTTAAAAGCGCTGAATTTGCATCTACGATTCCAAAACCATCGATGAGTCGACCGCTTGAAAGCAAAACCATTTCCATTTAGAAAAGACAGGAATATTCTTTGCGTTCTACGTTTGGTGTTCTTCAACACTGGTCCAATCTCTTTTCATCATTTCCGAAACGTCTCAAAAACTGACTAAGAAATAGAGTCCTAAGCTCACAGCTTCATAGATACGCATGATACTCAAAATAACACTCTATGGTGTTCACGGCCATGGGTGACGTAAATAAGTAATTGCCATGACTGACCATGCTTAATTTTCTTGGAGGCGTTCAGTTGTGTATTTGATTCAAAGCAGAATTTTGACAGCTTGCGGTCAAATCCACATTATATCATTCCTATACTACAGAAGGTCCTCTCTCGTCATATCAATCGCTCATTAGCTCTCTGTTGAAACTTGTATTGGTTCATCTAAAACTTTAGGTGATAAATTCCTCATACTACAAGTTTCCCGATCAAAATTCATGGATTAAGTTCTTGTTTCGCGGGATACGAACGATCTTGATAAATTTGCCTCTACTTGGGGTATCCGTTCTAGGCCCCTTTGTCTAGATCCTATTATCCGTTGTTAAGCTGCTTTATTAAGGGGGGTAGTCATGTAGAGTTCACTTATAAAACCGGATTTCCCAGTGTAGTTATTCGATTCCATTAAAACAGCGTGACAAAGCATGGAAGGAAGTCTTGATAAGTGTAAAAAATAAATACGCTTTGTCTGAATCAGGGGTCATTTAGTTCGAATTGTCACTACAACTCTCCCTGACCCCTTCCCGGTCGGTGGAACATCATTTCTGAGAAATCAGTAATAAATCGTTAACTGTGACAAACAGAAAATTACAAGTAATCATAAATCAAAGCAAAAAGCGTAAGGGCAATGAAGCGCAACCGGCTCTTGGAGAAACTTACGTCTTAACAAAAGGTATTGACGGAGTAGAGGCGGACGTGCGTGAAGGAAAGTACAGGAAAATGTAAAGTCTCTATCAATAAAAACATTATAACAGGAACTCAAAAGAGCTGTGTAATGGTGGTTACAAAAATGATTGTGTAATAACGGTATTCTGTTGCTTAATTTTTAAAAATGATTTAAGATTTGTCAGATTCTTATATTCTCCTTCTTCCCTAGTCACCATCAAATGTTAAGCTGGCGACCGCAAATGCTCTTATGAAACGTATGGCTTATGTGACACAAGTGTTTTGCAGACATTACTTTGAGAAATCTGTAAGTTGTTGGTTAAATCCGAGCATTTAGTCGTTAGGAATGAGTTCATTATTCAAGCTTTTACCACGTCAGTAGCCCAAGAGTTAAGGAATCTTTCCTCAATTAAATAAACTTCTTTGACTGCTCCAAAGCAATGCGGGGCATAAGATATTTATAACAAGTATTGAATGTTTCAAAGTGGAAACCGTAAAGAAGCTGAAATTCATACCATTGTCGCGTACGAACTGACATGGTGCGCAATTTACTTAGATTCGAAACTCGAAAAAGATAAGACACCATGTTTCGCTTTAAACACAGCGAGGCAGGTGCGAAATAATTTGCTAATGACAAAATATCTAGCAAGCGTGTTGATGTTGCATTACGTGACAAAAGTGAATTTATATTCTTTAGCGATGCTTTCTTTCGTGTTTTTGCAACAAGTCATTTGCGTAGCTACAAGTTCTCTTAAATCCATGAATAGTTAAGAATCACTTACCGTTTGGTCACCAAATAGCAGAGGTTTCATGTAGAAGCGAAACTGTTGAACCGTCTGTCTATCCTAGTCGGTACTTCCGCCTTGGATCGTGTCACGTGATTAATACGAAGCCGAGTGCCGGAAGTTTACGTTAGTTGTCGGAGTTATTAAAATTTTTACTCGGCCACGACCACATCAGATGTTTTAAACATCAACAAAATTAGCACCATTTTCCGCTCCGCTTGTGAAGAATAATTTTGTGGTTTGCAAAAAATGGTTCTCTTTGTATTTCCGCGTTTGATGAAACGAAGCACGTACGCAGCTGTTGATTATAGTTTGCCGGTCTTCGATTGGCCAGTATTTAGGAAACATGGACTAAGCGACACGCTGAAGCCGAGAGAGATTATGTTAGGATTATTCATTTCAGGCGCTGAAGAACTCGTTTTTTACACTCCGATAGTCAATTTACGGAGATGACTGAACTGAAATATTTTAAGAGTTTTGGTTTCTAAAACCGCGTCGAATTTGTAAGCAAACAAAAATAGATGACTTCAATCAATATTTTCTATCTGAAATTTGCACACAATAACAATGGGGTCCGTTTAAAACAGAACAGATTCGACATCTCTCCAAATATTTTAGAAAATGCTTCAGAAAACAAACAAATTTCTATGCATTATAGTTGTTAAATTGATGAGATAGGCATTGAAAAATTTATATTAATACTGTATGAAGTAACGCAATACCGTTTTATTGATATTTCGCGATGCAATCGACGATCTAAATGCTCCAAGTATAGAAGTAAATTTTAAAGAAATTAGAACTTATTTAAAATCTAAGTTATATTATCTCGTCAACCTATATAATTTTTTTGTTGCACATTATTAATTTGCAAGATTCCTAGAACTAAAATAAATGGAATTGCCGGGAAATCAGAAAAGGAGAATTGATATTTCGATATATAGATCTTTTTCTTCATCAAGTTCAAGAGCTAAATGAATTACAAATTTGAGTTTACTCACCTTAAACACTCACAACAAACGGACGAAAACGCACAAGCGTATCACCATTTCCATACGTAATTTACTTGTCAGAATGTAGACACGTGGGTCCGTTGTTTGACACGTGAATTAAGTACCTCTGTCGAGGTCATTGTGTCTGTTAAACGAATACACTGGAAATGACTCTTTATATAATAACAAAATTGTCACACAATACAACCTTCCGCGTTCGGTTATTTCTAGGAACGAGATTTATCACTTCCTCTTTTATTGAAACCCAAAAATGGATCATCGTGAATTATTGTTTTTACTCAGATTAAGCGGAAGCCGAAGCTGGTAAATAATTTATTCGTTCATATCATTCTACTTCCTTTCTAGGTCTTGAACGTTCTGACATATCAATTCGCATAACTTGTTTTGCTTTTTAAAACAGAAAACAGAAGACTGTTTCGCTAGTTTCGTACTCTCCGGTTGTTATTGTAGAGGCTAAATTATTGACTTCGTGTGATAATTTCCATGAAGCTACACAGGTCTCGCTTGGGCGAAAGAAACTAGAACGCGATAAAACGAGATTCTTAGAATGAAAGGAACAATGACCCGACACGTTGCTGTCTGCAAAACAACGTGACCTTGCCTTAATTTCCGTGTTTTTCAAAACGGGAACCTTGACGACAAAATTTCATGCTTCATTTCGACTCATAACACTTCTTAAAACACATCTCTTTAGACAGGCATTTTCATACTTTTTTTTAGTTAGTCAAATTGTATATTCTTAGCCTTTTATAATTCGTTTTCATATTTTATTTTGCTTAGTCATATTGTATAGCGCATTAGATCATATCCGCATGTATTTTGCGCTATATAAGTAATAAATTATTAATTATTATTACAACTAAACCTTCACAAGTTCTGTAGGGCAGACTTTTGAGCTCAATAAATAAAATGAACTTAGGCAAATGACAACCATTTTTAATTCGCTGTTTTCCTTAAGAGAGTCGCTGTCGCGATTGATGAAGCCCTCAAATCCTCACGTACAACGGACGTCATTAATAACCCATTAATTTGAAACGAGGGAAAGATTGTTCATTTCGTTTTTGTCGTTACATCATAGGAAATTACATAACCTCACTTTTGATTACCCGTTCGCGAAATTGATTTGGGTCGAGACGTTAATGTGGATTGTATAAATTGTGTTTTGACGCTGAGGTAAAACCGTTGTGAGCAGTCGGCCATGAAGAGAGTTTCGCTAACTGATTATCATCCTGCAGGTGATGGTTCTTACTATCAATAACTCCCATGAGTGACCAAGACAGAATTTCTCCTTATATCACGATTTCCCCCTATATCAATATCGATAAACTCTTCACATCCACTCCGGTGAATAATTGTTAATTGCTAATGAGATCTTGGGAATTAAATGGAAATTTGATTTGTGGTTATCTTTCATGACGGTGTCCAAAAATGATTTATTTCTTAAGTTGTTGAAGAGAAAACCGCTATGTCATTGTAAGTATATACCAAATGCTTTTCGGCGAGTGAGTTTTGAATGATTGAAAGGGTTTCAGTTTCCTTTAAGCAAGTTTATAAGCGTGTATTACTTGAAAAAATGCAGGACAACTTATTCGTGACATGAAGAACAAAAGCTAGACTAACTTTTTAATGAATAAAAAAAGTAAATAACTAAATGATTTGAAACAAACTGATATTATGTATTTCACCTGTATTCAAATGTCGGAAGTATTTAGTAAGTGTTTGTATTAGGCCATTTCTAATAATAGGCCGAACAGACTGAAAATACATCTTACAGTTACTGCGTTAGGGTATCAGGCTGGAAAACAGAAAGATTTCAATTTATTCACAACCACTATTGCTGTAAAACAAGGCGAATATTACAGCTAATTAACTAAACATAATCTATCGTTGTGTTTAAGGAGAGCGTTTTTCGACTGAGTGACGTTTAACCACAGCCAAAGTAATTACAACAGCCAATTAGGAAAAGGTGAATGACACAAGGAGCCAATGAGAGCTCGAAGTAAAAGAAGTAAACAACTTGAAGCGCGGGAAAACGCGGCGACCAAGTCATAATTAGTTTTAGTTTTGAATTTGATTGGTTGAGAAAGTGGCGCGAGTTTTTTTTTTTAAACCAAGTAGTGAAGCAAACCAACACAATCACAGATTAGTTTCGACAGTAACCTTGAAAATTGCTCTTGACGCTCTAGTGCACCTTTCTAATAATCAAATTATTGAAAAAATCTTATAATAGTCATGTAAAGCTCACCAATTTTGACAATATATTTTGAAAGTAAAGATAGCGCGCAATTATTGAGAGGTATATAGTATGTAACGCCATCGAGATTAATGTTAATCACAGTTAATGAAAAATTCCTTGCTAAAATGGTTTCAGCAACATGAAATGACTGGTACACGACTTTTAAAATAAAACTGATATGAACCGCTGAACACATTTCGAATAGTTATTTCCTGATTCCCCGTTAAAATTTTTCCGCATTACACTGGGCTTCTTTTGTATTTTCAAAAGAAATAGAGATACAAAGTGATAGCGGACTTTCAAATCATGAAAATACAATGACTATTTGGTGAAATCGTCGAATTCACAGGCATCTTAGAGGTGTCAAAACAACATGCCAACTAGTATTCAAATTTCCATTTCTTTCTATTGGCAAAGAAATTTTCGAGGCAACACCAATCAGTATGAATTATCGAGGGAAACTCCACTTCGAACACTGGAAAGCAGGTGAAAAATATGAAAAATATAATATTCTCTCACTGTAACGTAATGAACTTGATAAAGTTTTGTGCACGGAAATTGTGCCTTAAAAGCAGCCTCCAAAACTCTTAAAACCAAAGTCAATTTTTATTCATGAGACAAAACAAACCACAAGAGATAAGAAACGAAAAGTTGACAACTCACGGTTTTTAATGATTAGATGGAAATTCAACTGCAGACAAAAAAATTGAAGGAAAGTTCTAAACTGACAGTATGCATTTAGCAAATGTCTTTCGTTTGTATCGAGTGATTGGATTTCATCGAGTCCGACGATGCTCTAGCATATTCTTTGGCATACCACATAAACATTATTGAGGCTTTGTTAATTAAGCTTTTCGCTCATTGGTCGAAATAACTTGTTTTTAAATCAGATAGTTCTTTACAACCCCCTCTGAATAAATTACGAGGAAAGGCTGAGAGAGAGCGACAACAGGTGTACATTAAACATCAATCACAGTTTACGAAAATTCATTTAAAATGTTTCAAGACCGGGTGTGAAGTTCTGGGTTTCGCAACGTCTTGTTTATAGCTTACAACGGAAATTTCATTAGTTTTGTCGCTTAAGATAAAGTCTCGCCAGACAACGGAAGCTTCAGAACAACGTACAAACAATCACTGCATTGGTTCAAGATCACACCACTTGAATTTTTCGCTGCAGTGAATCTGGTTACATAATTTTATTTATTCTTCACAAATACGTCTTCAACTGCCAAAAAAAAATCTTTTCTGGGCCGAGTTTGAAGAAATTTAAGGAATTCTTTCACCATTTAGAGGATTTTTGCATTAAGATTAGTGCTACAAGTTTACTCGTGCTCCGACTTGGAAGGCTACAGACATGAGAGTAGGTTTAGATTCGTCCTCCGAAGAAGATGAACCTCTATTTAATATGGAGGATGTGGAACAAAGAGCGTTTGAAAAAGACAGGGATCTGCCCCTGTGGAAGCGATTTCTGATCACGTTGAAAAAACTGGGAGAAGACAGGAACAGTTTGAAGTCCACACTTTGTTATTGTGGTGTGTTCATGGTATTTGGAATGTCAGATGAAATTCTGGGTCCTACTCTTCTCGAGCTCAAATGTTTAACTGGAAAGTCTATCACCCTCATGAGCGTGCTGTTTTTTGTTCACGATTTGTGCAACGTTTTTGGATCAACATCCGGAGGATATTTAGTCGATCGGTAAGTACTGTTAAAATTAGAACGGCTTTTGTAAGTTTTGGTTTGTTACTGTTAGCTGTATCATTTCAGGAAACAAAATTCTTGAAATCCAAAATTAGGAGTGCCCTTTCGGTGCGTTCTAAGAGGTTGATGCACATCACACGATTTTAAAATCGTAATATTTTCGAAAATGGCAAAACCTCGGCCTAGACAATCTAAGCAAGCTGAGAACTATTCTATTGTCGATTTTAGTAAGTAGTCTTGCAAGAAATTAACAGCTAAATTCGCATAAAAACGTGAAAGGTCCTTAAATAAATTTAAAATCTAGCGTTGACTGACTGATTGGGGAATGATGCATTCATGTCTTCTTATACTCAGAGAATAAGATCTTCTCTTGTTTCACATAGATTGGTAGTCATGCATATGTGGTTATGGCTCAAGTCAGTGGTTTTAAAATGTATATCAGTATTTCTTGATAACGCCATGATTTCTAAAGACAATGGCCCGAAATTCAAATTTACAAGTCTTAGATATGGCCAATGTATTTTTCCTGTAAAAGTTACTTCATAGCAAAGAAAATAATTTGTTTAGCAACTAGATTTTACGGCGTGGAAAATCACAGTAGGAGATTATGAAAATGAAAACTGATCACATAGTCATAAACTACAAAACAAAACAAAAAAACAATTTTTTTACTCTTTTCTTCATGATGCGAATACTCTTTTTAAAATACTGGGGCAAAATATTTAAGCCAATTTCCCGAGATTCGAAAGTTGTTGCTAAGACTTCTGTTTGTCTCATAAACGCGAATTAAACTTTTTAATAATTTACCATAATGATTTTCAGAATATTTCCTTTGTGTGATAAAATATCAAAGTTACTGAAAAACCTTATTCAAAAGTGTACCAGCGTTATACTTCAATCTTGATATGAGTTAATTAAAAAAGTATTTCACTCGGCTGTTGTTACTTTCAAGGATGTAGCACGATAAATTTACACGGCTTTCTGCGCTGAACAAAACTTCAAAGAGAATTCCTTAGAATTTCAAAATAGAAGAATGCCAAAACATGATCTCTGATTAGTTTCACGCCGGAAAAGCTCTAGCCCGTGATTAAAAATTTACGATTTCTGGAGCAATTTCTAATAAAAAAAAACAAAGGCCACAATGATAAGGAAAAGGCTTTTTCTCTTCTAGACCGCGGCCGCAAACAAACCACAAGACATTTCGAACTCTATTAGTACCGAAATCGCTGAACCTTCCACGAAATCACTATAATCTTTACAATGGCTAGTAAACTCAAAACTAAGAAGCCTTTCCAGGTTCAAGACCACATTGCCTGAAAAACAAGAATCAAATAGAAAGCAATAATAAACCTTCATACGAGGAGATAAATCTCATATTTACTTGAGGAATTTAAAAGACAAACAATATTCCTTATTCACGTCTTTGTACTTGCTTATTTTCAAGTGTTTATCCTTATTCTCAAGTTTGCCCTTATTAACGCTTTTAAGAACAAGCATAAAATTATTTCAGAAAAGCTAATTACAGATGTTGTTCATCAATGTACTTGTCACCAGATAAAGAATCATTTCGGTTTTAAGACGGTGACAGTTTTGCATTTTCAACTGTTTCAATTTAAAATTCATGGCTATCATAAAGGAACTTCATCCTGCGACGCATAAATGCCAGATTGTAAATGCAGATGCAGATGCAGATGAAATTAGTTTTTCTTTCTTTGATTCTTTTGTAAAAAAAACCAGAGACTAAAGAAAGAAAAATACAAAACCGAATTTTCAATCGTAAATTATCCTTTTTTTTTGTTTGGAGCTTTAATGAGGGAGTTGCAAGAGTTATCAAAGTTATGCTCCAGTCTGCGCGCAACAAGAATTCAGGATCGATGTCAAAAACGGTGGAACAAGAATTGAAATAAGGAGGGTGCGGGGGACGGAAAGGAGCTGCATACAATGAATACAACGAGTGCAAAGTTTTACTTATGTCTTTTACAACATTTTCAACAGATTCAATCCCAATGTCCTGGTGACAATAGCTCTCGGCCTAAGTGCTATTTGCATCATAGCCATTCCACTCAGTCATATCTTCGTCATCATGCTGTTTTTGGCTGGAGTATTTGGCGGGTGTTTCGGCGCCACGGACACGTTCACAACCGTGCAACTGATACGCATGTATGGCAAACAGGTAGGCCAATGAGAATTGTCATAATTTTTATACCACAACAAGCTTACTAAAGGGGGCTCACTCCATTCTTTTATAATACCCTTTCGTTCGTCCCTCGCTCTGTACCAGGCGACAGAATGCTTTAAAACGAGGGGGCTCATAGGAGAAGTGCCCAAATTTAAAAATTGGTGTGTATGTGGTTCTTTTGTGCATAAAATTCTGTGTGTAAGTTCAAAAGTGCCCGCTATTTTCGCAATCGATTTGTGTCAATGCACTATAAAGCAGTAGCTCAACCAAAGTCTTAAGATATACTATTTCGCTAAGCGTGCCTTTATGGAACAATTTGCATTATTTTCAACGCAAAATTCTTGTTTGAACCAAGCGTGTATTTTCATGAGTGAAGTGTTGAAGAAAAGCTAGAAGGCGCAGCGAAAGAATTTTCGTCGTCAGTTCATCGTTTTGTAAGTTTATTTGGTTGGTTTGGTCAGCTCCTTCGACATGTCCTATGCTTCTCAGAATTTGAGACCTATTATGACACAATTTTACAATCGTATTAATAACAATGATAATAATAATAATAATGATAATGATAATAATTAATATTTCTTTGGCGCATATTAACATGTAAATTCGATCAAACGACTTGCGATGTTACTTGCCTCGCAACGTTTTTATATACCCTAATTTTAACAAAATTCTGTTGCTTTTTGCAGGTCTCTCCGTATTTGCAGGTAAGATTCTAACAAACTCTCGCTGAATTACTCTGATTACGGCTGTTAAGAACTGTCCAAGCAAAGGGTTTCTTACTAACGGCGCCTAAAAGGCTCAAATACCTAAGCATTAAGCTTGGCAGCTCACTTTTTCATCATTTTTATGTGAAAGAAAATACTAAGTGTCACCGCCAATTAGACCTGAATGCGCATTTTGTATCTCTCATTCGCCATGTTTATCATCAACCATTTCACTCTTCTTCGCTAACCTTTTAAATACTTATACATTCCTCTCCTACAGGCTCTCCATTTTGCATATGGTTGCGGCGGATTCTTGAGCCCGCTGATAGCACGGCCTTTCCTACGGCGTCGCTGTGTTCTGGTAGTGAACTATACGACTATTGTCGATGAATGGCCGTACGCAAATTCTACTACTGGTATTGACAATTCTACACACATATTCCACACTCAGGAAGAGACACACCGTGATACTCATGTGCGTTGGGCCTACTGGATTGTAGCCCTGTTGCACGTAAGTACAAAGGATCATAATTAATATAAATTTAGGCAAACACTAACCCCTTACTAACCAGGCGCGGGGGCCGCACTGGTCAATATTGACCCAAGGTCGTGGCAGTACGACTGAACCGAGCACAACAAGGTCCGTACAGAAACGGCTGAAGGCCAATATTCCTCAGTTCAGCTCGAACAAGCGGGGTTAGTAAGTAGTTTATTATAAGGCACTCGGATTAAACTTGGTAATTTTGAATATGCTGGCTTTCGAGAGCAAGAAATACACATCCCATGAACGTTTCAAAGGAAACGGTCCATAGTTCATATGGCAAAACCAAATCGAGTAGAACCTAATCAGAACGCTTGGATTTAACTCAAGACTGCCTTGCCATATAACAAAGGTACGTCAACAGGAATTCTCCAGAAAAAGGCAGTGTCTTGATACAGCAATGAGTCTAGAGCTGCGTAAATCCAGCCTATAATTGTGATTAAGAGGTGCAAAGGGAGACGCACCAAAAAGGGGCTAAGACAGTACCCTGAGATACCAAAGGAAAACGTTAGTGTTAAAAGGCCCCATGAACAGGGCATACTGCAATAGAGGAAACTTTAAATTATGAACTAAGCAAACTAGTTCCATCCTTTTGAAATTACCGATAATAAAAAATGTTATTCAGGAGGGAAGAGCTGGTAAACTACAAACTGGAACGACTCTGACTTGTCTTTTTCAGCTTCCAGTTATATTTGGTTTGCTGTGGCTGATGTTTACGCGCAAGTTGGCAAAAATAACAGGAACTCTCAAAAAATACGAATATGAGATGTACGATGAACAAAGACTCAATAATCCAGGTTAGTGTCTTCATTGTATTTTAACAATATCACGTCTGAGAAAAATGTAAAATCACTTTCATTATTTTGTTTCAAAGTATTTTCCAGGATTCTTTGCATACCTATGAAAGACTGTCGCAAGAAGAAAGTGTGATTTTCTTTGGATTTCTTTTTACTTTGAAAGTTAACTCTTTAGTCTAACTTTATTATATTTCTACGATTATTACTTTACCTTCCTCCATTGTTTTGTGGACTGAAGCTATTTATTTTAAGGTTTATCCCGTGTTAGCTGTTTTGGAAGAGTAAGCCATACTGGAAGATTAAAAGGCGCTCTCCTTTGAAGAAAGAGACTCTTGGAACCTCTGCCTTGGGCGTGTTTAATTAGGCTTTTGACTGTACAAATTGACAGTTATAAATAGGGAGGGGACGTTGTGTCCCTTTCACGCAAAACTCCACGATTATAAATGATAAAATCAGTTAATTCTACTACAGTAAATAACAGGATGATGATTTTCGTTAGGCTACAACCATCACATGGTTACATTGTATCTTAACGGAAACCCTCCATGGCTAAAGGTCTTTGGAGACGATCAGAAACCACGAGTTGTTGTCGTCACAGTTCTGACGTCACTGATTCTGCTGCTGTACGATGGTCTTATGGTAAGTCACATATCTTATAACTTGCCTCGAATGATCATGACGATAATAATTAAAAATTGGCCAAACGCATTGGCGCGAGACAGAGTTGAAATAACGATAACGATTTCCCTTTAATTATAAAACATGAGGTACAATTAAGTATGCCAAGTAGACAAAAACGAAATTCATTGGTAGAAAAGGTATCTAAGTTTATTTTTTGCTTTGCCCTTCTTAGTCTAACTAGTCTAGTGACTTTCTAGTTAACTTCTTAACTCTCATCTTGAGTCACCACTGACTATTCAAGGTTATTAATCTTACAGCAAGGTTATTAATATTAATTAATCAAGTTTTCTTAATGCTTTACAATTGTTAAATTACGTTCGACATTCTAGTTTAACTTCAACTATAACTTAAAGATGGAGCCTCACCTATTAATCGTCCTGACCTCTTCAGACTTCCTCGCCTTTACTTTTTCTGCTTTCTATTTTCCATGTATTATCTTTGTAAATTAGCTTTGTCCCCCTTTTAATATGTAATTAAAACAAATTATAAATAAATTTTAAAAAATCAAATTAATAAAAAACTATAACTGTTTCTTCAGGCCACATTTGGTGCCTTTGTGTATTCCTACGCCGTTAAAGGAGCAGTTCACATCAAACCGAGTCACGCGGCTTATCTTAACTCCCTCTTCTGGGTAAATATACAACAATATACTTCACAAATAGATTCCATGTTTCCGTACTTCTAATCAGTAATAGATCACGGATGACGTCAGAATGTGGCACACAAGGCGCCTTCGAGTGTCACTGATGTTCCTACCACACTTTGACGTCTTTTGTGATCTATTACTGAACAGACCCAGGGTAACATGGAATCTATCTTTGTCTTATATGATGATCAAGCAAAATGCTGTTAACAGTGACGTCAATTATGCGTCTGTCTTCCGATAGATCATAAGTAAGAACCAATCAAACTTCGTGTATCATTTGGTTATCATATAAATTACAATCGTGTATAGCGAGAGGAGACAGGTCCTGTTAGATTATTACGCTCACGATACGATCGATAAAAAAATGCATTTTCTTTTCCATTCCGTTTTCTTTTATTCTCTTTTTTTTCATCTTTTTTATCTGTTTATTTTTCAGAGTTTGTTTTCATTCTCTTTATTCCTCGTTCTAAAATGAAATACTCGAACCATCTATTTCCTTCTTTTACACACACAAACCTTTCGGCGATGGTGATTTTTTAATTAACATTTCTGTTCTTCCAGGGTTCTCTATCAGTTGGTCGATTTGTGTCCATACCTGTAGCCATGTATGTGAAGCCTCCCACAATGCTGATGATAAACTTGGTAACATAATTAATATTTTGGGGGACTTTGCAAATGTTTTTACTACATAGACTGACTGAAAGATTTCAAAATTTCAGAAATAGTTAACTGATCATTTCTTTCACTTTTTTCCGCACACTTCAAGCTGAAAGCTGAACGACTTTGACTGAAGCACTCATATATCCTTCCCAATCACCATTATGCAATGAAAAAGGAGTTTCCCGTAAGCTTTTCCCCTTGAGTTCCTCCTGATGACGTGAAGGTTCCACTGTGTCTTTATTTAAATCAGTCCGTTTTTGCGATCGGTTTCCGTGAATTCAAAGATAAGATAACCACAAATTCCAATCAGATAAGACTGAATAATTACCAGGAGTCAATGATAACTCCAAGATAGAAACTAGCAAACGGTCAAAGAGGAAAATAAAGAAAAATCAAATTAATCCTGGATTACTTTTGACATTAAACTAAAAAATTATTTTATCAGTCGGTATTACAATGGAGGTTGCATGAACCTTTAGAGGCACCTCCTCCCCCACCACCCTTTTGCAACACCCTTTCATTATCTAAAGTCAACATTTGAAACCTATCGTCCAATTTCAGGTTGGCTGCCTTTTGTCGACACTTTTCATGTTAATATTTGAAGAAAGTGAGCCTGCACTCTGGTTAGGGACAGCGGGGGCTGGCCTATTCATGAGCAGTGTCTTCCCAACCAGCATTGCGCTCGCCGAGTATTACATCGACCTCACAGGTCAGACAGTAACTACCTCCCTAGCTTAGTTCTGCGATATAAAATCAATATACAGTCTCGTGACCAGAGTGGTAATCCATCGTTCTTACTTCCTCAAACGTAACGACTCGTTAATAATTGTTTTTAACGCAAATCCTTCCTCATTTTTCTCGTAGCTCCCGTGACCAGTGTAATGATCGTCAGTGCAGCTCTGGGAGAACTTATTTTACCCCTGGTAGTAGGACAGGTGAGTGGCTAAGATATTTTTTTCGATAGTGTTTAAGAGAGTTTGCACGTTACACTTTCATCCCAGCGACTTGAAGAACACACCTTCCAAGTTCAATTGCGCTTTTGCCGCCAATCTCTATATTTTTTGTCAACTTAATAGCTACTTTTATGATAAATTGAAATATGTACTCATCATTCTCGTTCCAACTCTCCAGATACTAAGCAAGCCTCTGTTTTTTCACAGGTTTTCGAGAGACTGGGTCCCGTTAGTTTTCTGGCAATTGCGTTCTGCGCATGCTTTATGGCTCTGATGATATTCATCCTTTTGCGGTCAGCGGAAAGATCAGAGACTGGTAAGTTACATTCTTGAAACAGAAGAGTATAATTTAATATTTACCAATATGAAATTATTTTTCTTCGTTTTAATAGACTGGCTTGGATTTTTCTGGTTCGTTTGGTGTGGTCAACCTCCAAGTTCTGCAAACCAGCCAACATACCAAACACAAGCCCACGACCCTACTCCTACCGTGGAAACTGGAGACAACCCTCCGATAGAGACAGTGGAGCTGAACATTCAAGGATAGCAAAATTGGGTTTTAGGTCATAACGTCTTCTTTAGGTGGCCTAAAGTCGGTTTCTTTGGTTTTTTTTAACAAAAGTGTTTGCAGGAGGCACGTTTCTTCGCCCATTGGAATATTTGAGACTAGTCGGAAAAGAGGTTTGCTGAGGGTTAGTGCCAGGCCTCTTTCAGACCCCTGGCTGGCACGAGGCGCCGAAGCACCATTTAGGAAGGCCCGATCGCCGGCTAATGATATCGTAATGCTGCCTTTTTTTTTCTTTCCTTTCCTCCAAAGGCTGATTGGCTGTGATTGCGGTTGAAGAATCTATTAAAGGATAGAATAGTTGTTTTTTGAGTGCACACAGTGTATTTTTGCTTTGGTGATTTCAAGCATCTGTTCAAATACTTTAATTATCTCCAAGATAATATCAACTGCTCTCTCATTTAGATTTAGATTTCGTTTGATGGTTTTTCTTTGTTTGTTTTTTGGAAGCATCATGCTAAAAATTGTGGTTGACGATCATTTAAACAAGAAATTGTTAAACAAAGAAATCGTTTGAAACCTTCTAAAACCTTAAAACCTTAAATTTGGGATTAGCAGACGAAACTTCAGAGTGTTTTTAGGTCAGTATTTAAAATCCTATGTAATGACGTTATTTTTGTGTATAGATGGAAGTGGTGTTTTTGGGGTCATTGAAAATTTCTTCTGGGCTGATTTGGCAAATAAACCTTAGTTCCCTAATAATCCTTTCAGAAATAAAAAGGGACAGCTTATTTTAATCTGCTGAACTGATCTCCCCAGCCTTCTCTTCCTGTTCTGTGACATTCGGTTAAGGCTTTATATTTTGCCTTTTTTTCCACCTTTGTTTTTTAACACGTTCATGCTTTTCATCCAAAAAATTTCCCGCGTTTCCTGACGAACCGTGCTTTTTTTTTTTTATTGTTTTATACATTCGAAGTTGCTGGCTTATTAGTAACAACTTCAAAAAAATGGAAATAATTTTCTGAAATATTGTAGCTTTTTTATAGCTTTGTTGGAGTAGGTGATTTCAAATTCGATAGAAACATTTTTAATTACAACATAAATGTCAAACAAAGTATAACTTGGGGATAATGAGGCACAATGTGAAGGCATTCCAACCTTTGAAAATAAGTGTGATGTTCTGGCGTGCCTGGATATTGTAGAAATTCCGTGACTTGTTGTTGGCTGGGAAATAAAAGAAATGTAAAACAAATACGGCTGTTGATATGACTCAGACCCTTGTCCTAGTTTTTCTCACATGCCTGATCGAGAAATTTCTGGGAACGATTTTAGCCCAGGTTCCGAATTGTTACAAATTGTCATTTTATTGAGATCATTTGCAAAATTTTATCTTTTTCCTTCTTGAAATGAAAAGGAGCTTTAAGGGAACAGGTTGATATCTGTGGTAGGTTTCTTCAGTCCTATTATTGAACAGCTCTTTATGTCTGTTCCAGATAACCAGTTGGTGCAGACGCGCCAAAAATCTGCTGTCGTCTCGCTTGCATTTTCGCCCGCCTTCGCTGACTGAGTTCCTGACACAGGTTACCTTTCACTGTTTGGTGTAATTCTGCGGTTAAAATGCAAATATTTACAAATCTATTTTATCAGTTACAAACATGTTAGCTCCCTGATGGAAATCCACATTAGGAGCGTTCTTGACACCAAAGAGAAAATCGCAATGTTTTGTGTATCGCAAAGTTAGAAATAAATATCTTGCTCACTCGACTCCAATCAGATTGAAAAAAATTTGAAGATGACGAAAACACAGTTCTCCTTATCTTTATTTCTGGCTCGGTCCCACTTATGATAAGATTGTTCCTAACAACTCTCTTGTTTGTAGCACTGATTAGAACTTAACTTAGCTACATCGGTAACAATTGGTCAATCTGCAAAATAAGCTAGAAATCCCACACCCTACCGCAGGGAACCGTAATTTCTCCACAGTCACCCACCATGATTTACAGAATCTGAGGTTTCTTTAAATTTGAATATTTTAAATAATTAAGAACTTTCCCGAATAAGATTCAAAGAGATGTTCTGGCTAATTGAAATTTTGAATAATTGAAATGCAATAGATTGAAATTCTTTCTTTCGTTATCCATAAAAATGAAGTTTTCTTTTAAAGTATTTCCACTCTGAAGTGAAAAAACGAAAAAAAGTGCAGAAAATGTTTTAGAAAATGAAAAGATTTTTACAGTACCGTCTGTATATAAATTTAGTAAAAGTTTAAAACTAAAATGAACCAGTTGGTGGCAATTGTTCATCATTCAAAGATTTTTATTTTCACGAAGTTCTTTTCAAGTAGTGTTCTTCGCAAAAGATCTGTTTCATTCCTAAGTTTCAAACACTTTCTGTCTATTAAACTATATCACCTACATATAGCAATATTCAGAAGGTTTGCAAGAATCAGTCATATCCAACAAATAAATAAAACATGGCGTCATGAATTTTTGATCGGCCGAACCTTGTCGCGAACGATAATTTCGAAATAAAATCTTAGTCTCGTCAAATTCAGGCGAACAATGTAATCATTATAATAGCAAAAATAATGAAAGGTAAACAATGATTTGTTTTAAAGAGTGAATATACTTGGGTGAACTACAGGCGACAAAGCTAATCTCAGAAAATTTTTCATTCACAAGGTTTGTTTGTCTTAAACGGATTTTCTTCGATCTAAATCGTGTGACGTCACAAGCTTATATTTCCATTTAGTCGAGACAAAATGGAGTGAACAGATTTCCCAGTTTTTTTTATGCTTTCCGCTTGTTAGCGAACTGAAGATCTGCGCTTGAAGTCCTCCGGCGTCTCCGCGTAAGATCGCAAAAGAATCATCGACCAGTATGTTGGAGAATTTCTTTAAGGGAGAAGTGCCGAGTATTTTTGAAACAACGATAAAGCGAGAGAAAGGTTCGCGATCGGAGGACAACTCACCAACTTCGAGATTAAAGAATTACAGGAACGAAGAGGAATTTCTGCGAAGCGTTAAAGCAACAATATGTTATTGTGGTTCCTTCTGGACTTTTGGAATGGCTGCTGCTGTTATTGGGCCGACATTACTCGAATTGGGCTGTGTTACTAACCGGCCGCTAAATGTGATGAGCTGGGTATTCTTTTCGCAAGCTTTAAGCGCTCTATTTGGTTCAAGCATAGGAGGATTCTTAGCCGACAGGTATATAAAACCTTTGATTTATTTGATGGTAAATTAAATCAAACTGTCAACAAAAATCAAGTAGTTTCAGAAACTGATTTAAAGTTGGGAATGGTCAAAACTGTTTTTATAACCACATCAGTACGTAGAGCTCTTTTACACAATCTATTTTAACATCCATTCTTTAACGCATGGGATTAAAAGTTTTTGTCATAAGAATTAATTCAATGAATCCATAAGTCTTCACAGGTTATGAATGTCATAATATATTGCAGATGGAATTTTTCTCTCGAGAAAAATATCTTATTTACTTTGCTAATGTTTGGACCAGTGAGGAAAAAGGTAGAAATGATTGAGTTATGATCTTAAAATTAATAGTTAGTTTCTTGATATAAAAAAATCCACCTTAAACTAAGCGGTGTGTTAGCATTTTGAGTGAACTGATAGAACTATTTTTAAAACTTTCAGAAACTACTAAGATTTCACAACATACTAAAATTTGAGCAGATGATAAAATTATTATTTTTCTCCATTTCTAGATGAGACAGTCTTAATTTTTTTGTCTTCCGGCGGCAATTTTATCACTTCTTAAGCACCTTAATGCCATAAATATTTACATCGAATTATGTTTAAACGTTCAACATCATTTTGGATAAATGGGGGAGAAACATGTTTTCATTTTGGACAGCGAATATTACTGGGGTCTTGCACTTAAATTGCACTTACCACGCGTCTCAAAAACGTTTAACAGCATACTTCCCTCTTTTCAGTTCGAAATACTAGCTACAATCGGCAATATTGGTTTTTTACGATCAGAAATGCATGTTGTGTATCATAGCAACTGGAAATTGAGATCGAAACTGCGCTCGGGGCATGAGGTGAGCGTTGCAGCTTTAGTAAATCCTGGTATAAATTAGAAAATAACATAAATAACAAAATTGTGCTTTTAATTTCGATGGATTTAATTTCCGGCTCAGCGGTTATACGTTTCTAGAATCTTAATTCACCTGAGAACAAATTATCATAAATTTTATTGCTTAATTTTGTGGTACAGTATTTTATTTGATAAATACACAGAACAGTCTATTTAAAGAATTGATTAGCAAAAAAAACATGATTTCATCGTTGAAAAATTCTCGTCGAAAGTGACATTTATTTAAGATATGACTCGAAGCATCGGATCGCTGTCGGTATTGTGGGTCAGGTAAGGGGTTAGTGCGCAATTGCTCAGATACTGGCACTGATCCGAAGTTTCTATAAAATTTCAGGTACGACTGTAATATCATACTGCTGTATTGCGTGACGTCTGTAGCAATCTATCTTGCCGTAATCCCAGTGTGTCACGTGTTTGGCGTGATGTTGGCGTTTTTCGCCCTGTTGGGGGTCCACATGGGAGTGATTGATACCGTATCGAATAGTGTCCTCATCAAGATTCACGGGAAAAAGGTTGGTATGCCACTAACGAAAACACTATGGGTGAATCTTTTCTTTTAATATTAAAAAAAAAGAGTTTCCAAGGAGAAACCAACGCCTTTTTATTCATAATTTTATCAGTTCACTCACACCTTTTTATATCATTTGTAGGTGGCGCCGAGATTGCAGGTAAGCTAAAAAAAAAGAAAAGATAGCAGTAAGTAGAACCTTCCGTAATATGACAGGGAGTTTAGTTATAATTTAATTAGATATATATTCTTACCGGAAATTTTTATGACAAAGTGAGGACCGATTGCACACTACAACTTCCCGTCAAACCCATTAGCTACAGCTACTCCTTTCAAGTACAATTTCTCAATTTCTACAACATTTTTTGTCTGCAGTCTCTTCATTTCTTTTACGGCCTGGGGGCACTGGTCAGCCCTGTCATCGCAGAGCCATTTCTGCGGAGCGCATGCTCGGATGGACATTTCAAGACTAACATCTTTGGTTGGACGCTGGAGAATTCGACCCTGGAAAGATTGTCAGAGTACAGCGTTGATGGCTTTCCAGATATCGATGTTAACCTGACAATTCTAAATGAGACCATATCACAGATGATGGGTCCGCGCCACTATCACACAAAGTCTTTTGTTCAATACGCCTACTGGCTGGTAGCGCTTCTTCAGGTCAGTTCAATTGCATGGTCCTTTTGAATTAGCCTGTTTGTCTGGCTTTCCACCTTTCTGTCCGTCTGTCAGTCAGTCTGTCTGTCTGTCTTTCAGTCTGTCTTTCTGTCTGCCTTTCTGTCTTTCTGTTCGTCTGTCTTTATAAATGAGACCATATCACGGATGATGGGTCCACGTCACTATCTCACAAAGGGGATCTTTAGTTGATCCAATACCAAATTCTTTAAGCTAACATCACAAGAACTATATGATAGACGGTAAGGAGAATTACTAAAGAGATCTTGGGAGTTAAAGGTTTAAATATTTGCAAAGGAAAGAATGGCATGGCGAAATATCGGAAACCGACCCGCCCGGTTGAACGGATTCATATGAAGAGGCTCTTAGTCTGTGTCTGACTCTCTCTAAGCCCACATATCCAAAAAATTTTAAGTAATGTACTTAACCTACGTTAAAACTTGTTATTCTTTTCTCTTTCAGATTCCCGTGCAGTCAGGTTTGTTTTACCTCATCTACAGGCAGCGATACCTCAGGCGCTGGTCACCTGATATTTTTGCTGGGAGGGTGGTGACTCTTGCCGCTTTGCCTCCTGGGAATAGCGATGAAACAGAAAGTGAAGGTAAAACACATCGATTCTACTCGGGTGGAAGCAGTTTTGATTAAGGAATTGTGTTGCCAAACGGTGTGTGAACATGAGAATCTTTGCTAGCACATTATTTGGTCTTATCAGCATGATATGGCTAACAATAAAGCTCTCAGGTCACCACACAGAAATACGTTAGGATAAATACTACTTTTTGTCGATTTTTTCAACACAGCCGGTCTAACAATTATACCGTGAGGCGTGAATAGCGCAGCGGTGAGCAATAGAGCTTTTTAACACAGTACAGTCTGTTCATCTTTTTTAGATCTACCACAAGTGTTGAAACCTACCGCTGACTCCTCTATTAGATTATCATTCTGTAGTCTTCCTGCCAAAATTCCGCTGGTAACAATCCTCGCTGGCCTGTTGTTGTTCCTGTTTGATGGCTTACAGGTATCATGAAAAACTCATTCGTCATTATTAAACCGTACTTATGGTAGAAATAACTTGATTGGCTGTTATCATAGCTCAATCAAAAAGTGCTCTTTAACCTGATGTTCAAGTTGTTTTCCCTATAAAAATTCTTATCCTTGTATACCTCTATTTTAGGGCGCATATGGTGGATATTTATACACGTATGCAGTCAAAAGTGAGGTGCACATGACTCCAAGTCACGCTGCTTACCTTAATTCTTTATTCTGGGTATGCAATCAGACTTTTGATATGATGCTCAGTAGTATAATTTGAATAGTGTTACAGGAATTTTATCAGAGATAAAATAATAATAAGAGAAACAAAAATAAGGCAAATTTGAAAACTGCATAGTTGAATTTGCGCGGTATAAATAAATGTTATTAGATAAACAATTAGAAACCTCACGAATAAGATGTCATATATTTCAGTATCCCAACGTTTTCCCTTTCAATTTCTTAACAGTTTAAATATCTGTAGTGATTAACTTTTCCTTACAGTTTTAAAACATGATTGATCAATAAGGTCCTTAAAACATCTTGATCATTAAACCCCTTCAACCGATTGACATAGAAATTTATAAAAGTTAAATTGAAGAATTTTCTTATTAATGTTATTAATTTGATACTTATAGTTCATCATGATTTTTTCATTTAGTGTTCCTTTGCCGCTGGAAGATTTATTTCTATCGTCGTTTCTGTTTTTCTGGTACCGGATAAAATGCTTTTTGTTAATCTGGTAAGTGGAGAGAATACCAAAGAACCTAATATCTGAAGAAAAATAATTGTTTTACTTCCTCTCACCATAAATAGCAATTTTCCTCTCTATAGTGAATTTCCTATTCAAAGCAAAACTTTTAATTTGAGTATTATTCGCCTTTCAGTTTGGATGCTTTACGGCAATATCCTTCATGTTGTATCTGCACGATGTGTCTTTAGCATTATGGATCGGTAGCGGGGCGTTTGGCTTGTTTATGAGTTCTGTATTTCCTTCCACTCTGTCTATGGCTGAACACTACATTGACGTCACAGGTACAACAGCTGTCACCATAGTAACTGCTCCAATGTCCTGAATGATATGATAGGCTGAACAAAACACGCAGTTTGATTGGTTCTTACTTATGATCTTTCGGAGGATAGGCGCATAGATGACGTTACCACTTTTTTTTTTTCTCATCAAATTTTGACGTCATTTGTGATCTATTACTGACCAGACGCCCAAAAAAATAAAATCTATTTGCTAAACAGCTAAGATGGAATTCTTTTAAAAAAACTTCCCTCCTCCGGCGCTACAGCTGACAACAACACTCACGTTATCTTTTTTTTTTAGGATCCATAACTAGCATCCTAATTGTTAGTTCTGCAACAGGAGAGATGGTATTTCCTTTACTCATCGGAAAGGTGATCATAATTTCTCTTGAAAGCAGATGCACACAAGTTTAGATAATATATAAATAAGCCTATTATCTTATAAGCTTAGAATTTGTCAACAGCGTAGGCAGAGAAAAACTCTGAGTACCATGACAGGATTTAAACTGCAGCTGAAAATATTCCGATTTTGTCATCTAAAGAGAACTCTTTGGTCAGTGCATTGAGTTTATATTAGACAAATGTCTTGTATACTGCTAGGATTAGTGTTGAAAGCGTCTTCAGTGCGAAAATTATCAGAAAGATAGATAATTTTGAGTACGTCGTCGAATAAAGACAGATTTTCAATGTTTGCCTCAGGTAGGGAATAAAGTTTGATTTTTTTAGGTCGTTAGATGTTCTTAAAGTATATCGTTAAAAACGCACACAGCGTTAGCAAATATCACATACACTCTGAACGTGTGCAAGTGTCCGAGGACTATGACACTGACTTTAAATTGCTTACTGACCATTAAACTTAAACAAAAAATCTTTGTAGAGCCCGGTTCCCCAATAAAGTCACACTGATGGCTGTCTTTTCCGTTCTAGGCCTTCCCGCGGAAAGGACCACTCTCTTTCCTTGTGATTGGATTCTTGGTTTGTACTTTCGCCCTTCTTGTTTTTCTGACTTTGCGCATGACTGCTAAGGCTCAGATCAACCAATCAGGTAGGCGAAAACTGTGACCTACTCTACTCCAGTAAACGGTTTTTTAGAGGTTGTATTATGATGTAATAATTTCGAATAGTTTGAAGTTCGTGCAAGATCTGGAAATTATATTCAAAATGTAATTTCGTAGATGGAGATTCGCTTGAATAGAGAACTCATTAATCTTTTCCCTTTGTCCAGTGCATGATCTCTATCGTGTCGCAGTCAAGCGCCTTTGCCGTTGTAACCAGGCCTGTGACGATTGTGAATACACCCCTCTGGTTACGTGTGACGAAGAAACTGAAGAGACTGGGAACGATGAGCTAATGAGAGGCGAGACAGCACATAGAGTTGTGGAGCTTCAAAGTTGACCTATCGTACCTGCGCCGAATGAGATATCTTCTGTTTTATATTTCTCCTTCTGAATTCTTTAGTCCAGTTAAACTAAAGATAGTTTCAATGATTTTGTTCGAAAGGGCTTCTCTCTATAAGCATTCCAACAAAATTTACAGCAAGAACAGTATGAGTACGAAATTTGACGGCAAATTTTCAGAAAAATATTGAGATGACAAGTATCTCAAAAACAATCTATTCATTGTTTGTCAACAAAAAGGCTGATATAATTATTCCTGGTGGGGATAAGCAGGGTGTTTTTTATATTTCTCCTTCTGAATAATTTAATCCAGTTAAACAAAAGATAGTTTCAATAATTTTGTTCAAAAGGGCTTCTCTCCATAAGCACTCCAACAAAATTTATAGCAAAAACATTGTGAGTAAGAAATTTGAAATTTTTGTCAGCAAAAAGGCTGGCACAATTATTCCTGGTGAGGAGAAGCAGGGTGTTTTTTGTATTTTCATCTTCTTTCTGAAATTAATAACAAAGTGGTTTTCCTTCATCCTTTAACAATCAACAGTCAAATGCAAACCAATGAAAAAAGTGGAGAACTAATTTTTCTTATCATCTCCTTAGTGCTGTTGGAAGCAGGGTGAGTTTTTAGCGGTGTTGTCCCTCCAGAATGCCGTTTTCTGAAATATTTTGAAATTTATTTTCTTTGGGACATTTCTTGCAAAATGGTTGCTTGGGGAAAACGTGTTCAGTGCTCTGATTAGTTAGCTATTATAAATTGTAAATATGTGTCAAAAATTATGAGGTGATTGATGGAATCAACAATAAAAGCGTTTTGAAGTTTTCCTTTCTGTTCTCTACATTTACAAACAACACGCTCACCTAGCGCGGATCACTTCCGCATTGGACGAGTACTTCCGGTTTAGTTGGAATCAACTTCCGTTTATTCTCTGGTTGCAACACAACACATAGCGTTCTCGCTTGGTAACTCGTGACTTTACTATTTGTGACACTTCCTGTTAGTGAATATGAAGATTGACCATACGCATCGTTTCTTTTTTTTTAAACAAAGAGAGTTTTTTTTTTAAGTTTAGTTTTAATCTTGGTGGTGGCAATTTGTTTACTATTTCAAGGAAGATTTTGCAATGGAACTTCCATCATCGTAGAGTTCTTTACGCCAAATTTTAAGGCATAGAAAATCAGTCAGACTTACCATTTCTCTCATTTTGTAGAGGGGATAAACTTCAAATTACCGGTTTTTTTGTATCAGAAAGAAAAAGTTATGCTTAAAACAGTTACATCTCAAATTCGGGGGACGCAAGTTCATGAAAATCAGAAAATCTGATGTCTCAGATTCTCCTCCAGAATTTAAGCAAGGTCATTAGCAGGTTGTTGTTTATGTTAAAGTCAAAATTGTTTTTATTACCCAACCAATTAAATTTCTACTTTTCCTTCTTCGCTCACAAAGAAAAAATGATTAAAAGTAAAACAGCCACCCGAAGTTAAAAACTTGCTGCGCTCTTTGAAAAGTTTAATTTTCCTTTAAACTCTAAGATATTGGAGTTTTCTGAAAAATTGCCAGCGATTTTTGAGGAATTTGCTTCATCTTAGAGAAAAAATGTTTGTCTTTCAATCTCCTGCTCGCCTCCCACTTTTTGTTTAAAAACACACGTACCTTAAGTACATGCAACAAGTGGAGCGTTATGAATTATTAAAGACCAACCACCGACCGCCAAAAGTCAGCCATTTTTGAAAAAAATATTATCCTAGCATCATGGGGAAGCGGTTAGAACATACTTCAATAGTTTTCTCTTGAGAAAAAGCAGCGGATTTTTGCTCTTGTTTTAACTGCTTAGAATTTTTCCTTTGATGAAGAGAAAGCAAGTTTATTTTGTAGAATTTTATCTGTTTCTCAAGTCCTAAACAACTCTACGTTTGGCTTCAAATATGAAACGACCGTTGCTGTGCTTTTAAACGTTGGCGTCCATTGTCTTCACACATGACGAGGGAAAGACGGTATGAGTTTTATTCATCTTCTTGGCTTAACTATTGCTCAAGAACGAGCCTCAAGGAATGAAAAACAAACCGATGGAAATCGCTCAAACGAAAGCAGAGCTGATTTATCACGCCGTGTGTTTATAACTGCGTTGTACTGTGGCTGCTTTTTCTCCTTCGGGACGACAATGGCAATTCTAGGACCAACTTTGATCGAATTAGGACACTTGGTTCATCATGGATTGGACATGATGAGCTGGTTGTTTTTTACGCAGGCGGCTTATGCTTTGCTCGGAGCAAGTGTAGCTGGAATCATGTTGGACAGGTAACACGCTGTAAAATGTCAGTCCTATTGAGGTGCTAGATACCTTTATATAGCTCTTAAAATTTATCTCTTTTCCTATAACCCATTTGTTTTTCTGTAAACTTTAAACCGTGAATATTCAGTCAAATCATCGATTGCAATATGGCGCGGTCATGGCAAGCTATTTTCGTGTTGCAACCTGTTTGTTATGATTTATCTATTCGAGCGATTTAGACAAGTTGAAGTCTTATTAGGAGATTTTCGTCAAATTGAATTAATAACTGTCGAGGTTTGGTTACTCGAGTTATCACTAATTGGTATTGACTTTTCTATTCTTGTACCACTTGAAAAATCGCATTCACGCCTGCTTACAACCGCGTCCATGTGAGTCCCCTGATGCATTGCGAGCAGTGCAATAATGTTAACTCAGATCGCACAAAAAGCTTACTTTCTGATAATAAAATCGTATAGAATTGTTAAACAATAGACCGCCGCACTTTCAATCGGCTCATTGGCGTAATAACCCAAGCGGTATGTGGGAAGAACATCAGAACAGTTTGTAACTCACGAGCGAGTTATTTACAAACTGTTAGGTTTTTCAAAACCGGTATCGCAGCTAACTAGGACTTTAACGACTTTAAAGTCTTTTTGACTTCCACAGCCTATCTACTTAGGGCTTATAAGCAAATAGATCGTTGAACCCTCACCACTGTCGTCTTAAAACAGGGTGTCCGCCTACTACAGTTACGCAACAATAACAAGATTGATGTTTCAATCTGATTCAGCTCCAACCACGTACATCGTTGACTTCTGCACTTAAACAATCATTTTGATACTTTGTCTACCTCTCAGTTCTTATGAAAGGTCGCTGATGAAGGAGGTCCATAGCTAAGAAAATTGATTATATAGAGTTTTGAGACACAGAAGTTGCGTTTCGCTTGTTGGCTCAACAGGTGTTATCGAATTCGAATCTATCTAGTTCTCTTCTTAACTTTTGTTCAAGTTGACTGACCTCAATTTTAAAACCGTACAGTTCCTCTCAAATATTCGAAATTTCAAACGAAACCTCTTGAAGCCTCCATTCAACATAGGATTTACACGTTTGCTTCATAACGATTTCCGTTGGGCAAAGATTTGTTTTACCTTAAGTATAAAAAAGAGTCAATCTTTCCTTCTGTCGATGTTTCAGCCTTGCTTGGAGTGAAAATCTAAGCAGAAGGAAGCTGACAACAAGAAGCATTATCTAAGTTTTATTGTGCGTTGTGGGGTTCCCTGCGTTCAAAGTTTATTCATGCATATTATTCACGATTACTTCGTGTCAACACGCTTGATTTAATCACAGACACAAGAGTAACAGCCAAACTATCAAATGATACCTTCAACTTCATTTGAATGCAAAAAGTGACTGTGGCTTATGAACACTACTTATTTCTTAAATGGCTTTAAACTTTTCATCTGCTCAGAAAAATCAGCCCAGCAAAGATGCATATTTCTGGTGGTAATATTTAGGCTGTAGAGTGATTCATATGACTGCCTTTAAGGAGATCATCCATAAAAGGGTTGTTCTGTTTACCTGCTTGCGACAGGTGCATGTCAAAATATAACAGAAAGAAAGAAAAAAAGGGGGGGGGGTTGCATGGTAAAAGCGACCCCCTTTATAGGGAGAGGGCGACACAAAATGATAATAAGGCAATGCAACCTACCTTGCCCCCGGTTGTATATAACATTTATTGTATAACCCTTCCCTTCCCCCCCCTCCCCCTCGACAGAAAACTCTCCCCTCGGCCAACATGGTTTAATAATTAATGGTTTCACTGTTTCTGATGATTTTATCTGTAAACAAACACGGATTTGTTTACCATATCGCGGTATAGACTTTGCAATTTGAAAGAAACTTTCGACTAGCAATTGGGGAAAGAAACCACCCGAAAGGAAACTTTGACAAAAAAGCCGGTTTTTTACTTCCTGAGACGGGTGACGACAGTGTCACGGAGGACAATTTAACCTGCCACCCATTTAGTTCGATGATTAAGTTGGTGTATAGGAAAACAAATCGTTGTGTCTACAGGCCTCACATTTAACACCAAAATAGCTTTAAAACACAGCAAAAAGTAGCAGCTTCTAACAACGGGAGAACACGACTAAGCCGCGGGCTGTGAGACGCCTCTGGATCGAGCTTACCTTTTTTTTTAAAACGATATCTCTCAAGTCATGAAGCCATAAAGTTGGAATTTTGCCGTAAAAGAATTAAGTTACTGGTTTCCGAGTTGATCCCAAGAGAAAGATATGCTTCGGCAAGTGATTTTTCCGGTGATATGGAGGAGGATCAAATCTTACGCGGATCAAGTGGAAGATTTACGAAGATACTTCTCTCCGCACTGCAAATCTATTTGTGCCCATTTTCTGTACTTCAGCACGTTTTTTATGTTTGGTATGTCGGTGGGAATGGCAGGACCAACGCTTACAGATTATTTGATATCGTTTTTTACAAATATTGACATTATTGACGCATTAAGTTGGCTTTTATTTACGCAGTCTACTTTTCGCTTTGTGGGCGCCATTGTTGCAGGTACCCTTATCGACAGGTATAACCCGTTTGTCGGCTTTTTCATTCCTGTTTTACCATAGACTAGTGTCTTCATTCTAAAGAAACCTCTGTTCAAGGGACACTTATTCTGGTACCCAATGCGCCCCCAAATGGAGGTTCCATTTCTTAATCTTTACGTGTTTCATTTCCATGTAAGAGATAATTCTTGTCAGTGTACACTGCCCCTTGCCTCGAGCTCCTTCCGTGAATACCGATTCCATGAACAAATTTTAGACCTTCGGGTTTCAAATATTTTTTTTAACGTTATTTCATTTCTTTCCATCTCAGATACGACTTCAATCGAAACCTTCTCCTTTTGTGTTTTCTGTTGCTGAACGCGATCTTCTTAGCGGTGATTCCCATATGTCGGACGTTGTGGCTTCTAATCCTATCAACAGCAGCTGCGGGCTTTTCTGTGGGAATCTTAGACACTGCTACTAATGTTCAGCTCATTGCAATTCATGGGAAAAAGGTAAAGAAGGAAGATTACTTGAGCTGTTTTGTAATCCTGAACGTTTTTGTAGTGCAGCTTAGGTCGCTATGATTAGCGCTCCGGAGTTTGGATCAAAGAGTCTGGGTTCGATTCCCAGCCAGGGTCATTGTGTCATGTTCTTAAGCAAAACGCCTCACTCTCACAATGCCTGTTTCAATTCAAGATTATGTAGACGAGTACTGGCGAACTGTTAGGGAAATCAGACAAAATACCAAAGTAGGGGAGGGGGGCACGGTAGCAGTGATGTACTAACATCCCATGCAGGGGATGGGCGAGTAGCAATACCTCTGATCACTTCAAGTTTTTATGTTTAACCATGTCAATACTGTGTATCTATACATATCGATACTTGTTCTATATTCTGCGAAAAAACAATTTAACCTTTCTTTTATTTCATTTTCCCCAAAGGTTTCTCCATATCTACAGGTGAGTCGAATCATCTTTCGCCCTCCTTTTCATTTCCT